AGTAGTGGGTAACAGATCTAGCTTCCTTCCTACTCAATGCTGACCCCAGGCTAGTGATCAGATAAGCAGTATGGTCACCAAGCTAAGTCGCTAGGTATCAAGAAGGTCAACAAGCCCAGCTAATTGGTTCTTTACCACTCTCGCCAACGACCAGATACATTGTACACTTTTTGTGCTTGCTTAATTGACACCAGTTCTTGTGTTGGTGTGATTAGTATACGCGATAGGAATATCTCAGTTTCCGAAGGTAACCAATATGATGAAATCTCACAATTCCCATTGCTCCTAATTGTATCATTTGCCCGATGAACTGAATATCTTGTGGACACTTTTCATCCTTTCGGTGACTGCAGGCGCACATTTAAAATTCTGTCCGATTGCAGTTACTTCTCTGCTCTCGAAGCTAATGGAAAAGCTAATAGTACGAATGCTTAAACCCTCATTAAAGGTTTTTGAAGATCCTAATCCATTTCCTTATAACAGCAAAAGAACCACTCTGGGTGCCACCACTGCGTTATATCATAATATTACTTATAACCTTGATAGAAATGCCAAGTATGTCAGGTGTGCCTTTTCAGACTATACACCAGCATTTTATTGTCCCAAGACCTCTTTAGCTGGACAAGCTAGATGGGATGTATACTAAGTCCTTGATAATCAGCTGTCTGTATTCCTATTTCTCTAGAAAGAAACAATATACCGTTCACAAAGGGAAGTGGTCCACCTTACTGCTTACTGAGATGCATGTTCCCCAAGATGGCGTTCTTTCCCTCAGTCTTTTCTCCTTTCTATATGACTTACCATTTTCAGGTAGTATCAATTTTACCAAATATGTTGATGACCTGATAGTTTCCATATCTATCTCCTCTAAAACAGATTGGTCTCAACTGTACAATTTCCCACTTACTATTGGACATTAGTCCTCTGTAAATGGTCTTGTGCTTAATTCTTCAAAATATCAAACTATGAACTTTAGTTTCACACGTGACCATGACCTATGAAACTGCTTAGATTTTATGCCTCTTGTTCTATTGATAAGTGTGTACTTGAGGATGTTACAACTATGAATTATCTCGGCGTTTTTTTTTCTTCGAAAGTTTCCTGGTCCTCTCATATCTTACTAATTTCTAAAAGAATCTTCCGTCTACCCTACTATATTAAGAAGCTGAGAGTATCTGGTATAACAGCCTCCATTTGTGCTCTATAAACTCTTGCATTTTGCCTTTTCTCCCTTTAATCTTTCCTGGGTTGCTGAAAAAAGACTACGCTGTATCGCACAGAACTGTGGAGATTGTCAGCAGAACTAGTAGTGTGCCTCTAAACCTTCTGATTGAAATTGTTGTAAATAGACATCTTAACTCATGTAAACATCTGGCAGGAGTTATTTTGTCGGATAAGCAGCATCCTCTTCACTACCATATCACCAGGAGTTGCAAAGCACTGATTCCTATCGTCTCATAGACCCCAGACAGGTAGTCCACCCCTCAACTGGGTTCAGTCCAACAATTAGGGACTTCGCCGACTGGTCCAAGGGGTCCTTGTCTGGTCACCCAAAACCCTCTCCCAATTTAATTCAATTTCCGAGGTAGGTGGTGGCTCAGCATGTACAACACATGTCCAAGACACCTTAAATGGATATCTGTTAGGATATGAGCTTCAATATGGATGCCTCAATATTACTTGAGTACCCATTATGTTGAAATTTGTTCGGAGGCGGCTAAAAATGAAATCCAGGATGCGCATTTCTTCCTGTTTAGAAATCGTCAGCTGAATATAACTGTGGATCCAAAGTAACAACGGAAAATTACAAGTACCAACAAATAATAATTTGAAAACTACCATCTGATTTTTTGTAACAGAAAAACAAGTGAGCCATGATTAAAAACAGATGAAAATGATTAGTCTAACATGGCCGTATTTAGGACTACGTCGGTTAATCAGAAAACACTCAAACAATAGACATTCAAACACAGAAAATACAAGTTACATATGAGTGGTAAATATTCACAAAGTTTTTGCATTGTCCAATAGATTAGCGTTTTATAAATAAACGTATCAAGTGTAAACTTATCGCTAAAAAGTTATTCATACTACATTACTCATAAGTAGTTAAATCAGTAACACTGAATAAATGCTACTAATAACCTTGACAGAAACGGGGATGATAAAATGTAAAATCCAGGTATGTATTAGAGTTTGATAGTTTCCCGTAAACGCTTCTATCTTAACTCCCGTATTTTCTTGGCCTTTGCTAATGCAAAACAGGTAGTACGCTTTCTTGACTTTCCAATTCATAAGAGAATTGGAATGCATGCATGAAAAAAGCTTCTGTTTATACTCTCATCTAAACACAATGAAAGTCTCATCTAAATACCTCCATGATACTTTTGGAGTGGGTTGGCATTTTCCTGATACCATTCATTCCCAACTGTCACCAAGATGTCTGGTATTATCAGGAATACTGAAGATCTCATTACCGTCTGTTTGTTTACATATCTTTTATCTTGGAATATGAAGAATGTGGATGATAGATATAACTGTAGTACCAGCATGATTTCGTCGGATGAAACTTTAGTTCTACTACTGAGTTCATGGTTAATGTTTAATTCACTTTCGACTGCCTCAAGTTACATGTTGAATGGTACATTTGCATAGAATCTCATTGCATCGAAACTGGTCTTTTTTCCTGATTATATATTATCTAGTCTCTTGTGGAGCTGTGAGTTGCGGGGTTCGAACATTGCTTCACCCTAACGAGGTATAGACGACCAGGTAGCATCACTAGCCTCCACACGATAGGAGTGACTCCTTGCTAACTTCCCTAACGTGTACATGGTTGCTGAGTATACTCCAATCTAGTCTCTTATTCGAACCGAAGGGGTTAGTTAACCTGAATTCTAAGCGCTTTCATTCAGTAAATAATAGTGTACACTGTAGCACTGTGTACTTCCTAAAATAAACAATCTGATGTGGAACTGTAATCTATCACAGTGAGAAAGGTTATCTAACTGTTCATCATCACCAACTTGAAATCAATAAATCCTGACATGCCTCACAGCTGAACTCCTGCCCAACGTTCAATAGTGTAATTTTTCGGGATGAGATTTCTCAAAGTCTTAATAAGAAGTCATGAACGGTGAGGTGAACCAAGCTGGATGTGATAAATACTGGACGATGACACTGGATGACGATCGCGCTATTTCGGAAATTGACAGAAATAGGAAATATTGAACCATTGACCTCCAACCCAGTGACTGAACGCTTAATGCGTTGGCCACGAAACCTGAAGTTCCTAAGCTCGATCCATGGTGGGGTGATGGATGAGCATTGATGAAGAGTCCCATAACAGGATGAAACAACTGTTCAGCGATCCCATATTTCTCTAACTAATCCCAGTCCTTTATCAATGGCAACTTGAAATCAATAAATCCGAAGTGAATTATTCATCATTAAATTTGTACTTGAGAATACAGTAACTCATTTTAAAAGTGAATTAATCAGTCCTAATGAACGACTTTCACATCATCATCACCATCTGGATCAACATAGGACCAGGCATTACTGAGCAACAGTACAAATTCTCACACTTCATATCACCACATCAAGCAACAAGGCAATAAAATAGAAGATGAAGAAGGAGAGAATAATCGGTCAAATGAAGTAGAAGTAGAAAGTAGTAAAAAGACAAGAAGGAGGAATGAGAAGATAATGAGATTAAGAATACCGGTTAATGTGAGGATAATATGTGTATCCATCTGCGCCACTGATATCGGTTCTCAGCCACTGAAAGTCTATTGTACCACGGACCCCAAACACATAGTCGGCATCGCCCTACATGGCTCAAACCAACAGTCAAACACTTCATACACTGATGCCATGTTTAAGTCTGGCCACCCAGAAGCCTTTTCCAGCCTTAACCTACTTCGACCAACATTGTGTGACGAGGTGGACGGTGGCTAGGCATACGTAACATATGTCACAGACATCTGGGTCCATGAAGATTCACAACTCCATCAACTGACCTACCTCTCATCCCTAAAACTCTACGCCTCACTTCTACGTTACTCAAGTCATGATACCTCGAAACACCCCCTATGCTACGAAGGCAACGGTGGTCAAACAACTCAAGCCTTCTCATGTCTTCCACCTTTAATCCCGATCTTTTACAGCCATACAGTAGAACAGAACCGACTGCAGCACAGTACACTACACTCTTAATAGACAATCAGATATCCTGACAGCACCACAGATGGCGCAAGTTAGCAAAGGCAACCGAGCCTTTTGTATCCATCCAGAGATTTCGTCAACCACTGACCAACGCACCAGAGTGCAGGTGTTCAACGCGTTCAACCACTTCACTCTCTATTGTTAGTCATGATACCGTCGAAGACCAGTTCTGGAGTAAAAATTTGCACTTGGATGGCGAGAAACGCATCCCAAACATTCTCAAATTGCAGCGCAAGGTGTCCAGAAGACTCTGCATCTTGTCAGTGTCTTTAATTAACGGAACTATATCACCTGTCATATTATCAGATAAGACAAAAAAAAAAAAGCTTAAATAGAATGAGCCCAAGTGGACATGAGATATCTACATCGAAAAAGTAATAAAATTGTGAAAAAAAGCTTAGAGATTAACACTTACCTGTGTATATATTATCCCCTACTAACCACTGATTGCCTACACATTACACAGGTAAGCAATCTCTAGCCATGTTATAGTGACATTGACAGGAGTAATTTCTGACGTTCTTCACATGAAGTTCACTATATATGTTCTTCGTTGAGTATACACGCTATTCATAAAGGAAACAATACTTGTACCCAATAGAAATACATAAATGATTATGAGTTAACTCATAAGATTCAACTTGATAACCTGTAGCTGATTAAAAAATAGTTTTTAAAAAACCGATTAACACAAATGATGCAACACACTTTAAACAATATATGCCCCCTACCATACTCAATCATTTTATTACTTTAAGATTGAAGTTCTTTTTGAATTAGCAAGTATACATATTCATCTTTATATTTATATACAAAAATCCAAACAAAACAAAAATTGAAGTCATTGAAATCAAAAGGCTGAAAATATAAATCCAAGTGCAACACATACTGTACAACAACAACGATAAACTTCAACCGTTGAACATTGAATATACATTATTTAAATCGATTAAAATATCATCAATGTATATACTACATGTGAAAGAAAGGAAGCAATGAAGGAAATCAAGAAGATAAAAACTCCATTAAAAACGTGTTACTACATTTTATTCTCTCTGTACACATTACCACCATATTGGAAAGATTGATGTTAGTCAGATAAATAGTTGATTCAAGGTCATTTATTCCCATTTAAACAAATTCATAGTCAATAGGATCATTTGAGAAACTTAACTGTGATGAAAGAGATCTAGGATGATGTTGTTGATCAGAAGGATGAGGAAGAGAATTATTCAGATAATTAACAGTACCAGTTGTTGTAGAAGAACAAACAGAAGGCATGATAATAGCATTTTGCTCAGTTTGCATTACAACGCATCTTGAAGCAGATAATAATGATGTTGATGAAGACGATGATGATGATGACGGTATAGAAGAATGCCCAATCAGATAGCCAACAGAAAAATTTGAACATTGATCTGCAGAATCTGAGATATCATGAAACTCATCATTCAGTTGTCCAGTAGGATAACAGACATTCCTTTCGCTCATTACTATATTAGGGATACTAGGCAAAAGAGAAAAATTATCTCCATGAGTAAGTGTAACATTACTAATTGGAGATGTATCATGATAGAATTGTCGTAAAAAGTTGGTAGAATCATTTGAATTACTATCACACGATACTGATGATGATGATGATGACGATGAGGATGTTAAAGATGCACCAACGAAACTTCCCACTGGATTCAACATGTTCTGATGATTAGATTGGGATAAAGAGAAGTTGGGCAATTCAAATTGATGTTGATGATGATCAGAGAGAATTGGTGAAGGAGACAGATTACCAGGATCTGGTGATGGAAATTTAGGTGAACAATGCTGATAATGATAAAAGTCTGTCGAAGGATTATTAGTATTAGTATTATCATTATTGTTTGGTGGATTCCACGATATTATCATATTTGTATCCAGCAGATTTGTAGTCATCTGACTGACTGGTGTGTTACTGACATTGGTATTAGTAGAAGTAATGATATTCTCAGTTACATCGCTACTCTCAACATTATGAACATTATTATTACCGTCACAGTCAGGGAAATCATCGTGAGATGATTCCGAAATAATTGGAAACAACTGATGCACCCTATGATGATGATGATGATGATGATGATGATGATGATGACTTTGATGACTAGGGTCTTTCATATGATAATTATCACCAGGGAAAGACATATATGCCGCATTAGTAGTAGAACAATGTGAAGCCATAGGAATTTGAAATGGATGATGTTGGTGGTGTTTTGCAATGCTATCAAAGCCAACTGGATCATCAATTGGACGCCATATTGATGTAGATGGACAAAATGTTGATGACATGGACAAAGAAGAACAAGCAGAAGAAATAGCTGTAGACAAGGATGATGAACATGATTCATAGAATATACAATTTTCATTCAACTGGATTTGTGGTGAATTACAATCAGCTTTCAGTACACCATCAGTTATCATATGATTTACTTCAGACTGGAATGAATTTAAAATATCTACAGATGAGATTGATTGTTCTTTCACAACATTCAAGGAATTCGACGCATCACCACCACATCTAATATTATCCTCTACATTAACACCAGCCGGATCCCCTGGATTATCACCAAGCTCATCGTCTATATGAATATCACTATTGTTGTTAGTAATAGTATGAACATTCGTATGATTACAATCACTATTACCAGTATCACATGAAACCTCAGTTTCAATAGGTTCTGTTGCTGTAATTAAATAACACAGACTAGGTTCCGGATGACACGACATAACTGTTGACCAAGGATTACTTGAAACAATAACTTCTTCACCAGTACTACTATTATGACCGATAGTAGATACAGTAGATGATTTCGGTGAGAATGAATTAGTCGTCAGTTGAATCGGTAATAATATGTTCGGATGTAATGATATCGTGGCTCCGGCTGCTGTTGCTGCTACTGACGACGATGCCGACACCGTTGATGACAGTGATGAAGATGATGATGGAAGTGTTGATGAAGAAAGTGTCTCAACAGATGAAGAAGAAACAACTATCCCTTCTGAAAATACGGATGTCTGATGATAGATAGGATCAGGGACTGATACCATCATTGTTTGGTGAGGATTATCACTATTCTCAGGCATCAAATTAGTACAAGTCGATTCAAAGAATGAATGGCCAGCAGCGTTTATATCCGCAAAATTCAACATATATAAAGTTGTATTATCTGTAATATTCACTGTATGGTATGTGGTTATATTAGTTGGGATAACTGAATCTTCTGTTGTTAGTGTTACATCCCCATTCGCCGTGTCGACAGTGAAGTAGAAGATGATGTCATAACGTCTAATGATGATGATGATGATGATGGTGCCGAACATGAAGATGACATTGACTGATTTACTGATACACCTTCATCCAAATTACCATCAGCAATACTGATTAATTGTGAAAATCCTGGATGATGATCTGAAAGGATATTTATAACTGTTTGCCGATTTGAAGAACAGTTTCCTCCAGAAATTTGTGGCTAGAAGATTGTAAAACACATGTGCACACACACACACACATCATAAGAAACAAATCCTATGCATTTCAATAGATAATAAATAAATAAAACGAAGAGTGACACAAAACAGGATAAATTGTTTCAGTACTGACAAATAGATGATTTGCTTAAAACTTAGGCTACCGAAGTTTTCCACTGAACACATATACATCAATTTTTTTTCATACAATTTGTTTTAATCATTCAAATATGTCTTCTGAGCGTCTCATGTACTCTTGAACATTTTTAAAATGTTTTCAACTAGCCATTTATCGAGTTAATAACGAAACAAAGGTAAAAATGTTATATTAGACGGAAATAAGCTTTTCAGTAAGCAAAAATACATCATATTTATATTGCCTTAGATACTAAGCTTGAATTTCAGGTTCTTCTACTGCCTGAATAGACCGCCAACACCAAATCTAACGTCGGCTAGTTGTTTTACACTATCCCCTTTAATACTGTCGTCGTTATTACTGACAATGCTCACATGCAATAAACATTTCGTTTAAAAGTATAGTTCTCAGAGTGACTCTTTTAGATTATTACATGCTGCGAATTCCATATTGTATCAAAAATATTGTTTAGAATAAAGCGATTATTATTATTATTATCGTTTTTATTCATTGTGCTCCAAGTAACTGTTAGTTCGCCCTGAATGTCATCTATTAAATGGATTATTTCAATGTATATCATACAGCATTAGTGAGAAACCACCTATTAAATAAAAATCTTGAGATGATCTCAAAATGGTCTCTACATCATGAAATGAGTGTACTGGGTGAAAACACTGATGGATCTTGGAAAATAAGTAACAATTAAGTTGTTTATGGCTAACAGAGGAGTCCAGGATACGCATTTCGTCCCATTTGGGATTCGCTAGCTGAATTTACTTGCACCCCAGTGAGTGATGTTGATTCTACTGAGACTCGAATCTTGTACCCATCGTTTCAAATGTCAAAGCTTTATCCAATAGGCCAATAAGGCACGATAGCCACCTCTTGTACAACAAGTATTAGTGAGTACTATTTGATGATAGGCTTGTAATCCTCCGTTGAAGAATTACAGGCATATATCAGCAAATAGTAATAAATAAATAATAACCTAGAAAAATCTCCTGATTATAACGAAATATTAATGATGGGTGGTGGCTAACATAGAAATCTAGAATGCACGCTTCGACCTGTTTGGGACTCGTCTGTCTCCCCGTGAGCGATGTTGTTTCGATTAGGTCTCCAACTCGGAACCAATCACCTCAAACACCAGAGCGTTTTCTACTAGACCACCGAGTCACGATAGCCACTTCTTGTACGACGGACATAGTTTTTATGTTGTTGCTTGTATTATCCCATCGTTGGTGTCTCTATTGGCATATGGGCTCCTGCGCGGATGCCTCGATTTTGCCTGTGTTTTAATTATATATATATTAGTGATGGATAATGGCTCCCGGTGGAATCCAGGATGCGCATTTCATCCTATTTAGGATAGATCAATTCGGTCCAATCAACGACAAGATAATACAAGCAACAATATTAATTATAATGAAACTTTAAAATAACCAATATCGAAGTTTGAAATTCTAGAGAAATCTAAGTAATTCAACTGATATTATGACGAATTCGAGTTCGTTGGATTGATGGAGAAAAAAGATGCATATCCCATTGTTAATTTCAAATGTGTAGACAAATAGGCGTATACTGGAATCTATTTGCAAGTAAGTCTATTAAGGTTGAGATATTTTTTGTGTTTGTTGGAAAGTTTGAGTATTTTATTGCTCCGCATCTGTTTATTTGTCCCTCTCGAACCTCGCTCCAAATTTTCTTCAATATCTCTCATTCCCTTTTATAGTCATACTTATGTATCTATGTGTATACGCTATTATCAGTCAGTATATAATTTGGAAGTTATTAACATACCGATATGGTATAAAATAAATCAACACCACTGCAGTGGTAATACTCACTAACTCATAAGTATGCAGTAGAGAACATGCTACTAGTGCATGTTAGTAATAATGTACCATAGAGGTCGACATTTTACATCCCCTCGGTTGAGTTGATAAGCCTTCAAAAAGAATCGTATGTTTGAGTAAACAGAGACAGACCTTCTAATACCGAATTAGATTCGAAAAACGCACTAAGTTATGAAAGACAATGAAGATTATTAAAAGAGTAAAGCTTCAAAAATAACATTATCACATACTGTAATAATTTCAAGAGGAATAACATCACCAATAGTTTGTTGACACTGTACATCAAATGAATTGAGTGGCGTCTTCAAATTGCTATCTTCATCAACACCACAAGTGTTGTCATTACTACTAGGCATAAAATTCTTTTTACTCGGCTGACAATTTCTTGAAGATTCACTACCATCATTGTTTACTGTTAGCTTAGTAGTAGTACGACGATTTGTTGGCCGATTCGAATTCCCTACCAATGATTCATTTCCAGTTGACTGACTCTGTTGTACACCTTTTTGGCGTTTATGTGTTCGAAGAAGATGACGATTTAAATTTGAAAGACGAGTAAATGATGTTGAACATATTGAACATATATGATAAACACGTTTCTCGTGTATTTTCTTATGTCTCCAAAGTGTACCAGAGGTCTGCGATGAAAATTTTGAAAAGAGAACAGAAAGAGAAACACAAAATGAAACAGATGAACAGAAAAAACAAACAGTGTAGGTCGGCTTTTCTGTTTTTCTAGAACTCTATTAAATTACGTCAACCTAGGCGTCAAACAAAACCATACACTAGGATATTTGCTACATACTAACTTCATTTCTACTTCTAAAGCACATACCTCACAGCCGTTCAATAGGACAGAACGCAATCAAGTTGCTACTCAGGATATTCAAAAGACTGCATCTTTTCACCATCTTCACTTAAAAGAACCGTCTGATCTGCTTACTCTAGTTCAATTAAGCGGGTCGACTAGGAAGCCAATGAATAAAGAAATTTCTACGCAGATATTGCATGTAAATTACACACGAAAAGAGATATGCGTGATTTAAAAAACCTACTTGCTTTTGCATATACTCAACCCCTATACAAGAGTACTATTGATAAAATGGAATAAGAAAGTTATTTAACTGCTAAGGCAACCGATAAGATTTTTAGACCAAAATATTGGATCGTAACTGCATAGTATTTTCTTGGCTTCGGTTGAAAATATTTCATTACCCGGTTCGGTGACTTTATTAACAGCAGATACATAAAAAAAAAGTAAAATGTGCTTAAATGAACGTATAGTTAACATGTTTGTTGACCATAAAAGTTATTTTAAAAACTGTGGAGTCGAGTACATCACCTATACCATGGCACCAGCTAATGCAACGCCCAAGCAAATGCTATCAACCTTGGTTGACAAGAGAAAGAAAATACATCTTCAGCTATGTAGCAAAATACTTAGTAAACTCAGGACATTTGGCTCCTGTACAAAGCCACTGAAAAGAAGTGAGGCTTAAGATATTCAGGTATACCATTCCAAAATTTCAAATCATTATTATGCATTCAAAAGAAGTGTGTATGACCTCTTCGTTTGCTATATCTATTATAAATTATCGACCACTTTAGATAACCTACATATGACATAACAATTTTTATTTTGTAATCATCTTGTTTCATTCTCCCTATTAAGTAACTTTCTTTTATGACGCAATTCATATTGACCAGAAATTACTCTGGAATGTTCTGTCCCTTTTCTACCATATATTAACGAATGTACGGCTAAGAGAATGATTTCATTGGAAAGAAAATCTTCTCTTCGTTATAAGCCTCTTCTGTGTTTTCAAATGGGATTGTTTCGATGTTTGAAGAGAACAAATCGTTTTTGTTTCGTTACTAAAATTCTTAATTTTCTGAAAAAATATAACTGGAAGCTTTTTTAACCGTTATCATATATTCGAATACACTTATCGTGAAATAAATCGCCCCGATGAAAAGAGTATTATTATTATTATTATTAGTGGTAGTAGGTAGTACTAGTACTAGTATTACAATAAATGGTCTATCAAATAGACTAAAAACAAAAGTAGGACAAATAAAACATTCATAACAACAAAAAAACAGCAATAAGTTATTAGAAATAAACTCTCCTCCTGCCCCCTCCACGAAATCAAATGAGTACCCAGAAGCCTTATATATCCAACAGCCTTTTATCTACACTTTGCTTCCAAAATTAAAATGGAATATTTAAGAATATACAACAAAACACATACGGTATAATAATGATATCTACTTCCCGACTGAGCATCAACGGGTGTGGACTCTTATATATATATATATATATATATATATATATATATATATATATATATATATATATATATATATATATATATATAAAACTAAAAATCTTTTTCATTGTTGATGTAGGTAGGCTTTGTCAAAGATATCCATCCTAATAGTATGGCTTATTTGCTCTGTCCGAAAAATGAATTTTTTCATGAGTACATTCACAGAACAAAACTGTGTGGATGATGATGATGATGATGCTGGTGATGAAGATGATGATGACGATATCACACGTCAATCACAAGTCTTTTTTATTATTTCTATTCATTATGATTGATATCATCGTTATGCTAATCTGATTTTAGATTCCTGTATATGAAAGCGTTTCCAATTTATGTAATGACAATATTGAAATCATCGTCACAGAAAAAAAACAAAAATCTAGAATGTGTATGCATACAAGAGAGGGGAGGGGGACTGTTACTAACCAATATCTTTGCATGAATTTATCAAAAGCACACAGAGACGAAAACACTAATGGATAACGCATATTCACTGAAGTTAATAGACTGTTGTTAAAGCCAACTTTATGCGTTGTCCCTAAGAAAAGTATCCATATCACTAAACTAAACAAGGGGAGATTGCATAGTATAACTTTTAAATTGGCAGATCAGTCTGAGTGATTCCTAAATGCACAAATTATTCACCAGAAGTAGTAGTGGTAGTAGGTGGTAGCAGATGGAATTAACTGAGCTGAATTGGTAAGGTCAAGTATATAGGTCAAAGCACATGATCGGGGTTAGTCAGAATAGCAGAACACAAACATTTAGCGAAACATATAATGGTTGACTCAATGAAGATAAGTAATTTAGAGTAAACTCGGTTATCGCTCTGTATGAACTGATCTATAATCACACTATAGGGTGGATGGGATGGGGTGACAATACTAAGATCCAATATAGCTAGGTGAAGGCAGAGATGGATCACAAAATCTATGTTCATTAGATCCGCACCTTGCACATGTAAAGTGGGAATGAATAATTCATCACATATTGCAGATATATGAAAAATGCTTCTACCATTAAAACAAATGAATGAAGAACAGTTGGATTATATAAAAGAAGTGTGAAAGTCGTATGATAATGACTTCGATATGAATATGAGCAGTAAATCCTCCTGGAAACGTCATCCAGTAAATTATACTGTGCCACTGTATGATATATCAAATAAACAAACTAATATGGAACTAGAATACTCAATTACTTCACATTTATTCCCTACAAATCGTAATACTAAGAGCGAAAACTCATTTAAAATGTTATACAGATTGACATACATATCGAAAGCAAGTGATGTGACGGTTCCTGATGAAAACTAAATAATCTCCAGTTCAAACGAATGAAGTCGGCAGTTAATAGTGTTGTAAACTTAGGAACTCTAGAGTACAAGTGCAGTGATTTTAATTGATAATGACAACAACAAGCTCCAATCACCATTAACGGGAGAAACTTAAAGGAAGTAGACTCTTTCACTTATCTAGGCAGCATCGTTTCAACTACAGGCGACACAGACGAGGACGTCAAAGCCAGAATCGGAAAAGCAAGGCAGGCGTTCATTAGCCTGAAACCAGTGTGGAGATCTACACTCCACTCAGCATGTGGAACAAGATCCGGATTTTCAACACCAATTCAGTCAAGTCAGTGCTTCTGTGTCATGGTTCACTGACTTGGTGCGTTACAAAAACATTCCCAACATTCGACAGACAAACATCAAAAGCTGCCACCTACGCTCACTCGATACTGACAATGAACATCAGATGAATGTCCAGAATAATAAGAATAGGCAACAAGCAACTCTGGCTGGCTGGCTGGCTGACAACCAACCAACCAACAACCTATCGCCCAACAAATATGCAGAAGAAGAAAGTGGAGGTGGATTGGGCATACACTGAGAAGACCATTCGGAGATATCAGGCGACAGGTCAGTCAGTTGAGTGGAATCCAAAGGAGAATCGACGAGTTAGGTGTCCCAGCTGAGAGTGACATGGTAGAGATGAGAGCTTCTGGGCTGTCGTGGAGCCAGGTTGAAAAGATTGCAGAGAACAGAGTGCAATGGAGGCGTGCTACTGAAACCCCCTATGTTCCACTAGGAACCCAAGGGACAAATGATGATGATGATAACGATGATGGTAACAATGATTAGACTGAGTCCCCTTGACAAACTTCAACAATACAAGGACAAAGACATTTGCATAACCAAATGAGTTCATTTCATTTCATAGCGTTTCATCAGCCACAAACAGCTTATTATTGAAACGAGGTATTAGTAGTAGTAATAGTGGCATAGCTTACTTTAAATATGTAGAAATAAAGGAAGGTTCAAAGTTCAGGATTAACAAGGTAGGGAGTCAAGGCAAAACAGGATTAATTATCCCGAACCTGAGTCAAAATTAGTGGCAGTTCACGTCTAATAAGATAGAAAATTCTGAATCTATGGAAAAGTGAGGACAATAAACAAACAGCAATGTAAAGGAAGGGGTTGTTGAAGAGCTGGTAGGTTACATAATTATATGAAAAAACTGGAAAATTGTTAAGTGATTAACAGCCAGTAGGTAAATTATTCAATGGAGGGATGACGCAATCAAAAGAAAGAAAGACTAGACTGTTTAGCAATACTCATATCCGGGAAGAAGGCGAGTATACCATGAACCTAAATTTAAATCAATTCTGTGGAAAGTGGTCTTTACCAGGAAGGCAATGAAGTCGAATAAGGGAGAAATATGTTATAAATAAATTCTGATAAAATTAAGGGTGATTAGACCAGGTATTTCTTACACATATACAACAATTAACTTGTTGAGTAGAGTTTTTAAGGTCTGGTGACGTAATCTTGAACGTAGCCAAACGAAACACTAATTACGGTACACTTTCGTAAAAAGTTAGTAAAGAATAGTTGATTGTTGGACCTTTTAATAAAGTTCATGCAGCAATATTCGCATGCTTGATTACCGATTGTTGATCATAAGCTGATCATCATCATGGACTGATGTCAGTTGGAGAATTACTGGAAATCTGGGAGCACTGGACAGCTATTCCGTCCTAGTATGGGATACCTCAGCACTGTGTACCCATGATCCCGCCCTCCAGAGATCGAACTCAGGACCTTAATGTTCCGCAACCAGCAAGCTAGCATTGAACCACTGAGTCGAAATTCAATGATCCACATTTCCTACTCCTGTTAGTTCATTATACAGCGCGATTCGCAATCCAATACCGCCATTAAGCAACCGTCATCACGTTCGACTTGATTGGTCTCATACTAAGATGAAGCACCTGTCCAGCCCACCCCTCCTTCCCCAGGTTTCTAATAATTCTACATGCTGTAAAAGGATCGATTTAAGAGAAGTAAAATTCATTTCAGTCCTTTGCTTGATATTTCAGAATCAAATGAAACTCTATTGGTTATTTGCAAAAAATTAAGCTCACTTTGAATCTTTGATCACATTCAGAACAGGCGAAGTTTCGTTCATTTGAATGTTTGAATGCAATATGATCATCCAGTTCATGTTTAATAGTGAAACGAGCATTACACGTCTATGCCAAACAGAATAAGCAAAAATATAAAACCATAAACACACTGTAGACATGCATGATGTAAAAAGGACAAAATGAGGTTTAGTATTATCAAGTTACTCTTAAGTTTTCATGTTATGCCTTTTTCAACATATTCTACTATGATAATCATATACCCAACAACAGAAACAAAGAGATAAACCCAGTATTGAAGAGCACAGAGAAAGCTAAAACATACTAAATTAGCCACTAGATTTTCATAGTCAGTGAGAAATGAATTGGTGATTGTCTCCATCTGTTGAGGTCAACGCAGCTATGCACCATTGCATCGTACGTGTAGGTTAGTCCACAGACTTGTACTTCACAGTATCGAACCCACTTCAACTACTAATTCCTGGATAACTGAATATTATCGCAAATCTTATCATATAAGTTGTGCCTCAGCTCTTCATATGCAAATCTGCAAGTAGTTACAAAGCTCCACTGAAATCACGGTTTCGGCTGGTAAGATATAAGTAACTTTTGAAACTAATCAGCATTTTGGTATCATTCCAAATACCATTCTTTTTTTAAAGCTGCAATTGAACTTAAAGTTTAACATTGTCAAAACAAGGAAAATATCATGAAACAAATGTTAATTAATGAATGGTACCGAACTTTAAAGTATTGTGTGCAGAAACCAAATGCGACTCTAAAAACCGTGACTTATAGCATGTACAAAGATTGCTCAAATCCTCATAAGAAACCCTAAATACCCCAAACACTTCATAACCAATCATATTTCCTCAAAGTCTGGAAGAAAAGACACATAATCAAGTGTGCGAATTTCAGATTGATTGAGAAGAAAAAATCAATACAGAATGCCCTCTAAAGGAATGGCCAGATTTAACCAAGGCCATTGTAAATACATATAAATCGCTATACTTTGTATATAGCCTGACGTTGCAATACATCTGTTATCTTACTGCTTTCTATTTTCCAAAGAACTTAGTAACCATCAAGGGTGAAATTCGAAGGTTATTGTTCAAATGTCCACAAACACATATGAAACATGCATCAGCTTGTAAAACGTGCCCGCGAACACTATTCAGCCTGGCTGGCAAAGAGAGAACGGGAATATCTATTCAGTTCAATAACAGAACACCTAGTGAACTCAGACCACTTAGCTCCTTTCGAGAGCTCATTCAAAATCCTTTACAGGGTTCGATCAAACCATTCGAAAGGAGTAAGATCAAGGCATTTGGATATGGCTGAAGCACTAGTTATCCGAAAGTTCAAACCAGCGCTATACATCTAACCTTTGTCATTGCAATGGTCATCATAAGGCCTCGACTGTCATAGATTCATCCTGTATAACATAATTACATTTAATTTCATAATCCTTTGTCTATTTCCCCACTCTAAACCCAAATGTGTATTAATTAACTTCCTTTAGTTATTCAATATATTTTGCACCCTAACCGAAAATAATTCTGCAACGTTTCGCCTACCGTAAAATATATTAACGAATGTACAAGTTAGTAAACAACTTCATCGAAAAGAAGAATTTCTATTCACTGCAATCACGTCTTGTTTTTTCTTATGATTAAATAGGTGTATTCTGCTGTTTAAAGAGTAACCAGGTTATATTAAAAACATATGAACACCAGCCTTAAATGCATTTCAGAATAGAATTACACTTCACTCAACATATTTCAACTAACATTTACAGATTCTAAAGCCGGTTATTCCCCTTCGATCAAATGATCTCAAACACTCTCTAAATATGGAACTTAAAATAATCGACAATTCATTATCATTAACGAAAAAGTATTCGAAACAAACCATTATTCAATTCCCTTTTAACTTCTAAACTGTTTAACATTCACGAATAAATGGATTATGAACTTTTGTCAATTGCATATAAATGAGTTTACTAAACAGTTAGTTCATCCTTTTTGGTGCTTCTTTCAATGCTAGATTTTTTTTTTTAATGTTTGAGTAGGGTGCAACCAGCAACTCGAAACATACTCATAGATCCCTTCATCCACCTTTAAAGTAGCTTGTCTGCAATATGATTTAATTATTTCATGTAGAATATAGCACAATATCGTTAGCTATCGTATTCAGCATATGACGAACCAATCGCAAGGTTGGAACTTTATGAGTTCACATTCCACCACTCCTGTCAAACTACCTGAAACAACCATTTGTTACAACTCATAATTTTCACTAAATCATTAAGAAATTCTATCACTAATCAGTACCGAATTACGGCTGTTGAGGAATTGACTAATTTTAAAGTAGTATTTCATCTGAAACACATAATACCACCACAGGTATCCTGAAAAAGATCAGGTATGTGCACTAGATAAGTCCATTACATCCATCTAACCAATTGGGTTTTATCTCCTAATGAAGAATATCTCACAAACGAAAAACAAATCATTAAACACAACTGATTCTTAATTAAAAGATTGATAGCTGTTGGTTACGATTTATCAGTTCATCAAAGCTACTTCATCCCAATCAATAAGATTCTGTATTTAAATAGGAATATGCATTTTAAAAAACTTGGTCAAAAATACTGATCCCAAAGAATTTTGATGCAACACTACTTTCCAAGGTTAAAAGAAAAGTTTGTTTGTAACTTTCTTTGAATACATCTCCGTTTTCTACCTAATTGGTTGCAGACAAATGAAACATGAATAAAGTGATATTTTTTATAGTGGACGGTGAACATGACATCATTGCTAAACATGTGGATGTATATGTCGCAGAACAAACCATTCTACTTTTATTTTTGTAAGTAGTTAAAGTTTTTTAACTATATTCCATGGCTGAAACCAACGGTAAAGAATTCGCCACGGTTCTACTCCTTTATAGTTTTCTAATCAGTCCATAACATCTGAGTTTTCAAATAAAATCAAAAACGGAAGCAATTCATTCAAAGTCTATCCCATCGCTACCAGACTTATCGCGAATATTTCTGGTTCAGGTGGATGATTTTAATGATGTCACTCACTGAGCTGAAAGGTTTAATCCATGAAACCTTTATCATCTATCTAGACAACATTGCAATATGAAGTGAAATATAATTTCTTCATAAGTGACTAAATAGTATATTGACGAAATGGTATGTGACTTATAGTTTCCTTTCTGTTATTGACTGCACAAACTCTCCTAGTGGCTGTTAATCTGTCAGAGTAAGGAGGAATTGAAATTCTCTTTAGCATCGGAATGTGCGTAGAATTTGTAACAATGCTTGAATTATAGTGGTATTTAAACTCATAAACCCACTCAGAGATAAAGTTTGTCAGATGAAATATTCATTTTCCATAATTAAGTAGAGTAACCTAATCTATCAGATACTATGTATAGAATGGCAGTCAACTCAACTTTATCGACTTTGAAAACGCCTTCGACAGCGTCGACCGACAAGTAATTTGCCAGGCACCTGCGGCTTCAACACTACGGAATACCACAAACCTTTATCAACCTCATTCAACAGCTTTATAAAAAAACACATGCCAAGTGATTCACAATGGAAAGCTCAACGACGCCTTTGAATGAAAGACAAGACAAGACTATCTACTATCACCGATGATCTTCCTGATTGTGGTCGACTGGACTGGATCATGCAGCAAACAGTGAGGAGCGAGAAGATGGGGATACGCTGGACCGATGAATGAAGCCTCAAAGATTTGGATTTCGCCGATGGTTTATGTTTAATGTCGCACAAACTAGAAGATCTGCAGGCGAAAACCAACAAGTTGACAGAAGAGGCAGCGAAAATAGGACTTCAAGTGAATGTAGAGAAGACAAACGTGATGAAGATACCCAACCAACAACAGCATCGACAGCAAGCATCCATCAGCATGAATGGGAGAAACCTAAAATAACTAGTCTCTTTCATCCACCTAGGGTAGCGTCGTTCCAACTACAGGCGGCACAGGCACAGACGAGGATGTCAAAACCAGGATCGGAAAAGCAAGATAAGCTTTCACTAATCTGAAATCAGTGTGGAGATCTACTGCACTCAGACCAAAGAACAAAATCCGGATTTTCAACATCAATGTCAAAGTCAGCCCTGCTATATGGTTAAGAAACTTGGCGTGCCACGTAAAGCGCTTCCAACAAACTACAGACATTCATCAACAGCTGCCACCTACGCTCACTCGATACTGAAGACCAGATCACAAGGTCAGAAAGAATAAGCAACAAAGAACTCTGGGAACGAACCAACCAACAACAAATCGCCCAACAAATATACAGAAGAAGAAAGTGGAAGTGGATTGGGCATACACTGAGAAGACCATTCGGAGACATCATGCCACAGGCCAGACCCTCCAGTGGAACCCTGATGGGAAACGACGAGTTGGGTGTCCTAGTCGAGGGTGACATGGAGAAGATCATGTGAGGAAGAAATGAGAGCTTCTGATCAGTCGTGGCGTCAGGTCCCAAAGACTGCAGAGGACAGAGTGCAATGAAGGCGTGCTACTGAAGCCCCCTATGTTCCACTAGGAACCCAAAGGAAAAATAATAATAATCAGATACTATATAATGATTGATGGTGTCAAGTTCATGGGTCGAAGTAGCTAATCAGGTCAGTCAGGATAGAGGAGCACCAAACTTGAGCCAAATATAGAATAATAGACTCTAGTGAGTGATTCAGATATAAGCGTAGCTACTTCCTTTGTATGTACTGCCTCATAACCACAGCATAGGTTGGAATGGAGTGTCAGTACAAAAATCTAAAACAAATTAGGTCAAGGGAGAGATTGACTATTGAATCTTTATTCAGTGAATCGGCGGCTGACACATGAAGCAAGTGATACATGACACATTACCACCACTTGTAACATTTTCCTACTATTCAAATGATAGAATGAAAGACGTTCAGACTGTAAAAATTATAATCTACTATATAGTGACCAGGAGTATAATCTAGGAGGTGGGTTTCATCCTATTTAGGACTCAGCAGCTGAAAATACCTGCACTAGGCCACTGAGGCTAGTGGATAACGCTTCGGTGTTTGAAGCGATGAGTCCAGGATTCGAGTCTCAGTGGGAACGGCATCATTCACTGGGGTGAAGGTGCATCCAGTTGACGAGTGAGTCCCAAATACGCTCTAAAGACAAACAAGGAAAAGAATTCAAGATAAGTGAGAAAGCCCTTATAGAGAATGAATAGCCTAGGAAATTCATCATGAAGCATGGAAACGAATTTATTGAGACCAAAACATCCAACTGCTGAGAAGAAGCCTGTTTTCCTTCGCCTAGCATTCAAAGGTGATGAGACATCTGAAAGAAAAGACAGAAGAATAAAAGCTGAACTGAGAAGCAGCTTCCTTGCTGCCACACTGATCTCAGTTTACAATACAATATGCTCAATAATACAGTCGAAAGTAGACAAATACCCATCTCACATCATCAATTCACTTGTGCTTGAGGAAGTAAGTACATAGGATGGACTGGAAGAAGGGTGTTTACTCGATTTTATGAGCATATTCCGAGAAATCTGTGTGTGAGTGGTAGCAAGGTCTTTAAAAGCGCAATCACCAGGCATCTGATGGAAACAGAACATCAAAAAGATGTTTCTCAATCTTTCAGGATAACCAACAAACTAGGAACACCATGGTTATTACGTTTTGCGGAAGCTCTCGGTATCGTACATTTTCAACGTGACCTATATATGCTCACAAGGAGCTTTCTTTACCTTGGTAAATGTACATAATTTTTTGGCATATATATGTATATAGTCTCCCTTTTTCTTTTGATTGTATCACCTCTTTAATTACTGACTAACTGTTAATCACTTAACGACTCTCCAGTTTCTTCATGAAATTACGTAACCTTATGCCTTTTAAACAGTCCATTCTTTTACACTGATTTTTGGTTGTTGTCCCCCCACTCTACAGCTCCAGAACTTTCTATCTCACCAGATTTGCACAAATTGTCACTGCTTTGACTAAGATTTGTAACCATTAGTCCTGTGTTTCCTTGACTCACTACCTTATTGTTAATCCTGGATTTCAAATCTGAATTTATTTCTGCATGTTTAAAGTATGTTATGTTATTATTACTACTAATATTTCATTTCAGTTGTAGGCCGTTGTCGGTCGATGAAAGGCCATGAAATGAAATGAGCCCATTTTATTCTGCAAATGTCTTTTAAAATAGTGTAGAATATTTGTAGCTCAAGTGGATGGTCTTGGTTGTATTGTGTTCTCTGAGCTGGGTTGTTTAATCGTGAAGCTTTCATCGTCTTGCAAGACGACATCATCAGCACTAACTTCAGTATAAAGTGAGCTGTCAATATCTCTCCGTGGGTAATTTAGTAGCTTTCTTTGACCAAGTGGTCCGTGATCAGGTGTTTCCTTTAATTGTTGTGTCATTGACTGTATAGTATTTCTTGTTGGGTGTTCCCCTGCTAGACCTCTCACCATTCTGTCGTTCATCATTTTTCTTATTGGTTGATAGATTGGGTCTATGTCTATACATCTGTTGATTGCTGACTGACCTGAATGTCAAGCTTCATTTTATTCTGCAAATGTCTTTGTTCTTGCATTGTTCAAATTTGTCAAAGGAACTAAATGTATGAGTCCAAAATAGCCCGAAATGCGTATCTTGGACTCCACTGGCCAAGCAGACATCAACATAATCAGTAATCAAGCAATAAAAGGGCAATCGCGCCAGCAGAAATCGACCCAGTATAACAAAAGAGTAGTATAAATATCAACAAATAATTATACACATTATGCTTGTAATGTCATTATTATGTATCATATCAAATAAACAAATTCAATATAGAGTATATTTTCTAAGAAAATCTGATTGACATAATAGGTTGTTATGAAAAATATTTTAAAAAGCAAACTACTACTTACTTCACATACAAATTGTTTCACACTGAAATGTCTAGCTAAATGCTCTTCATAAGCTAAGCGTTCACCGGTACGAAATTCACAATAACCACAAAAATAACGATATTCTCGACGATGTACAATACTTTCATGACGTTTTACATTGTAAGCACTTTTAAATGTTGCATTACACTCTCTACAATAGTATCGTTTTAGTAATAAATTTGAATCAGGTAGAAGTTGATCAATTTCTTCAGTAGTTAAATGTTCGGATAACTGATTGAACACAAGAATTGAAATGAAACACACAAAAAAGGAGTCAAAAATTTAAATATAACCATGAATGGTTTGAAGGAAATGAGATACTTCTGGTATACTAAATTTTAAAATTAGTAAATCTTGGCAATGAAATAATTTGAAATTCAACGAGCCAATAAGTTATTTGAAAAGTAAGACACTAACTTGAACACTGCTTAGTTGATATCGGTGGGAAAATGGGATAAATGAATGTCATATAAGTATGATCAGTCGTATCATTTTGTGATTTCCAAAAGTTATTTTACTTAGTATGTATTCGGTAACTCCTAGTTTGATGATAAAGAGTGAGGTGGTTGAATGTGTCGACCATTTCACTTACTTAGGAAGTGACATCAGCTGGAAATGGCTGATTGTTGACTAAATCTCAGCTCGGATACAGAAGGTCCATTTCGTATTTGCCTGCTTCAGTCATCTGTGGCGCCAACTAGCGAAATATCCGACTACCTATCAAAGAGCGAGTATACTCCACTGCATTCTGTTCTATCCTGTTGCATGACTATGAGATACGGCTGTTAAAAGTAGATGATATGATGCGATTAAAGGGTTTTGATCACAAATGCCTTCATAGTATTGCTTGCGTTTGGTTAAATCGTCATATGAGTAATGTTGAAATCAGGTGATGGCAGCCAAGTCTATTGATGAGGTTGTGAACCTTGGACCGACTGACATGGCTACGACATGTACCGCGCATGCTGAGCTATCGCTTACCTCGACGTGTCATGCTAAAATAAGCTGGATAGGGTTAGAACAGAGTTTAGAATGGTGAGATCAAGACCTGGTACCAGTCGATGAAGTCACTTACTGTTGGTTTGAGCTGTATTGAGAGATGTAGACTCCCTGGTCAGGGTCTGCGAGATGATACGAATTAGTGGTTGATGAATCTTGGTGACATGGCTGAAAATCGGTCACAATGGTGTAGATGCATCCACTTGACATCTTAAAAAGCTTAAATAATCACACTAACCTTTATCTTCAGATTGTTTATTCTCTCACACAAGTTTATCTACTTCGCTGTCACTCTTTTTCTATCCCCCTAATCTTGCTGTACCACTATGAAGTGTAGTAACTTGAGCCAATGCAGTTGTGTCACGATGACCCCTTGTTCAACGGGTATAGTTTTACTGCTATTGATTGGAACGAACTGATCGGTCTTTCTTGATGGATGATCTCCTGCTAAGGTGGCTGGGTTCGAGACCCAAAGGAAACAAGCACCTACCGGGAGACAGGTACATCCGGCTGACGATTCCTAAATAGGAAGGAGTGCGCATCTTGGATTCCACTGTTGGCCACTACCCGTCATTACTATCGAAACACACGTTCTTGTTTCATTGGAGACTCGTCAGCATTATGCAAACTCCACAGTTATGCATGTGATGTGCCCATCCCATAACTTGCTTAACTGATATAAGCAGCTCCCGCGCTACCGACCCGGCACTCCACTGAATGGGTCACGAAAAGTAGCAGCTGACCAAGTCTCAACTCTACTTCAACTATCAGGGATTTAACACGCCTGTTGGGCAACGACAACACAAGTAGAAAGGAGTTCACACCCCCCATTAAGGAATCAAAATCAGAAACTTTACGCAGGATCGTCAACAAAGCTAGGATTAGGGTAGCATCTAAACCTAAATACTCACTTAGAGAAACGCTTGGGGATTCGATAAAACCAATAAAGCAAAATAATATAATCTATCAAATTCTATGTAATGACTGTGAAATCAAGTACATAGGTTAAAGTAGCTAGTTGGGGTCAGTTAGATTATCACGATGACAGAAAAAAACGCGATCATTGCATTGATAGATTAACACACAACCACACAATAGAGTGGTATAAAACCACTACGCTTAAGTCCAATATGACCTCACTTAGTTAACTAGTTACTAGCCGGTCACAAGTCCGAATAAAGAGGGAGGGTTGGGCATTGGGCTAAAAACCATATACCGTAAAACCAATCCAGCCGCTTCAGAAAATTCAAAGCACAAACAAAATATAAAAAATAAAAACAAACTGATTTCTTGCTGGAATTGGAGAGACGAAATGACGCCGGTTGGTGAAAACCTTCAGGAAGCCAGTCGGCGAATGTGTCCTCTCTCGATGAGAGCGAAAGTAAGAATGGGGATATGGAATGTCCGCACCATGTATGAACCTAGCAAGGCTGCCCAGATTGCAAATGAGATGAGAGGGTATAGCATTGAAGTGCAAGGAATCTGCGAAAGTAGATGGAATGGAAGTGAACTCTCCAAACTGTCAACTGGAGAGTCAATAATCTACTCCGATATTGTCAACCAGACGACAACCACGAGCACACTGAGTTTTATAAAGGATATCATGATGTCTCGAAGATCATCAAAGGCTCTCATACAGTGAGAACCAATCTCCTCCTGCAGGATCATGACAGCAAGATTCAAATCAAAAGGAAGGAAAGTCACAATCATACAATGCTACGCTACGCACCTACAAATAATGCAGCTCAGGAGAAGGAAGAATTCTACGGACAGCTGCAATCAGTACTGGACAGGGCCTCAACCCACACAGCGACATCAAAATTCTAATGGGTGGGGTGACATGAATGCCAAAATGGGAGCAGACAACACAGGAAGAGAACTGATCATGGGTCGAGAAGCACTCGTTGAAACAATGAATGAGAATGGGGACTTCTGCACATTCAACATGCGTGAAAGAACACTGGGACTCTTTCAAAGAGATATAGTAGAAAACCTGCATAACCATGTTAGGAAGGAAGACAAGGAATGGATCTCGACGGATAGATGGAAGCTGATAGAGGAAGGAGAGTAGGATGGTGAAGCAGATGAACCAGTGCAGTGCGGGAATAAACAACGAATAGAGGAACTGAATACAGCCTATAAAACACTATACTAAACAAAGAAGTGAAGAAGAGTGCGCAGAAAGATAAAAGACACTTCTACGACACGCTTGCAAGTGAGGCAGAACAGGCTGCAGGTAGGGGAGACAGAGACCTGATAACACTGTATCAAATAACCAGGTTACTATCTGGGGAGGGGGAGATCAACGCAGATGAAACCAATGAAAGATAGTGAAGGAAACCTAGTTGCCAAAGAGGAGAAACAAAGGAGACGATGGACTGAATACTTCAAGAAACTCTTGAATCGACCACCACGACCACCACCTGTAACGCGTCCAGAAATACCACCAGCAGCTCAGGTACAGAACAACCAATTAACATAAGCCCTCCAACAAAAGCAGAAGTCCTGACAGCGATAAAGTTGCTGAAATCCGGGAAGGTAGCACGACTAGATGGAATTCCTCCAGAAGTACTGAAAACAGACGTGAAGACGATTGTGGACATCCTCACAACATTACTGCAGAAGGTATGGAAGGGAGGAAAGGTACCCGCAGATTACAAGGGCTACCACGTCAAACTTCTAAAGAACTGAGACCCAAGTCTTCGTAAAAACTGGCGCGGAATCATGCTCCACCCCTATCCACAACAGGAAAATATCATGCCGCATCATCCTGAAGGAATTAAAAGGTGCTCTCAATTCAAAATTACGATCGGAGCAGGTTGACTGGTTGACTTTCAGAAAAACAAATCATGTCCCCATCAGATTGCAACGTTACGCTACGCATCATCATACAACAGAGTATAGAATGGCAGTCAAATCAACTAAACATCAACTTCATCGACTTTGAAAACACCTTCAACAACGTCAAACGAGAAGTAATATGGCGGACAGCTGCCAGCTCAACACTACGAAGTACCACAAACCTTTATCAACATCACTCAGCAGCTATATGAAGACGCCACATCCCGAGTGATTCACAATGGTATGCTCAGTGACCCCTTTGCAGTGAGGACAGGAGTAAGATAAGGTTACCGCCAAATATCAACGATCATCTTCCTAATTGTGGTCAACTCGACTCGACTGGATCATGCAACAAACTTTGAGGAGCTGTGAGAAGATGGGCATACGCTGGCTCGATCGATCAAAATACGCCAAAAGAACATTTGCATTTCGCCACCAATGATGATGATTTATGTCGAATGTCTTGCTGCACAAACTCGAAGATCTACAAGCAAAAACCAACAAGTTGACAGAAGAGAAAGGGCAGCGAAGACGGAACTTCAAGTGAATGTAAAGAAGACATACACAATGAAGATACCTAACAAACAACAACAACAAGCACCAATCACCATCAACAGGAGAAACCTAAACAAACTTGTATCTTTCACCTACCTACCTACCTAGGCAGCATCGTTCCAACTACAGAAGACACAGGCACACATGAGGACGTCAAAGCCCAGGATCAAAAAAACACCAAGACAGGCCTTCATTAACCTGAAATCAGTGTGCAGATCTACTGCACTCCACCGCACTCAGCATAAAGAACAACATCGAGATTTTCAACACCAATACAGTTAATTCAGTGCTTCTATGTCATGGTTCACTGACTTGGTGCGTTACAAAAAACATTTCCAACATTCGACAGACAAACATCAAAAGCTGCCACCTACGCTCACTCGATACTGACAATGAACATCAGATGAATGTCCAGAATAATAAGAATAGGCAACAAGCAACTCTGGCTGGCTGGCTGGCTGACAACCAACCAACCAACAACCTATCGCCCAACAAATATGCAGAAGAAGAAAGTGGAGGTGGATTGGGCATACACTGAGAAGACCATTCGGAGACATCATGCCACAGGCCAGACCCTCGAGTGGAATCCAGATGGGAATCGACGAGTTGGGTGTCCTAGTCGAGGGTGACATGGAGGAGATCATGTGAGGAAGAAATGAGAGCTTCTGGGTTGTCGTGGAGCCAGGTTGAAAAGATTGCAGAGAACAGAGTGCAATGGAGGCCCCATGTTCTACTAGGAACCCAAGGAATAAATTATAATAATGATAAAACCCTTTTTGTTATCATTCGATCTTTACGTCATCAACTAGCAACATTATAACTATAACCACCATTATTTTTTTAATATCATTATATATATATATATATATATATATATATATATATATATATATATATATATATGAATGTACAGCTCGAGAATAAATACGTTGAAAAGAGTCCTCTTCACTGAATATCTTGTTTTTGATGTCACAATGGGAATTATGAAAGTATTTAAACTGAAGCGTTCATAAATTAGGTTGGTTTTTCAGGTTGATTGAAAATTCATTATGTGTCAGCAAAATTTTCAGGCATTGACAAGTTTGTTACAGAAATGGAGTTACAAGAAACAAAACTTTGTCTTCTTGAATATGACGAAGAATTTTCAAATGGTTTACAAACTGCACGATTTATATTAACACATTTTTCAATTGGCCAACTGTAGTATCAGAGTTTCCGTTGGAAACTAAACAGTCTATTCATCCAAGTCAGCTAGCCAAATTCAACTGAAATGAACAATTCAGTCGTTACCTGAATAGATCAGATGAGTTGAAGCTGATGAGGAAGACGGTCATCCGGCATTCAGAACACTTTTGTCTGGCTGAAGAAACCTCAGTGGTTTCTAACTACTGTCGTTGACTTTTTGCTCAACTGCTTAGTTTACACAAAGTTAATAATTAAACAAGTACAGAGAGATCTACTCTACAATTGATTAGTGACTAGTGGTAATTCAACACTCACTTGGCTTTTTCTAACTCATAGAGTTTGTATTTATGGTTTGTAGGGATTTATTGATTTGAAATTAACTTTCACTATGGACTGACATCAGTTAAGGGATTACTAAAAACCTGGGGCCACTAGACAGCTGTTTCGTAGTAGTGTCAGACTCCTCAGTAATGCGCCTTCATTATCCGGTAACGAATTGAGTTATTAGTGTGCACTACTGAGGAGTCTCAAACTAGGAAACAGCTGTCCACTGATCTCAGGTTTTCAGTATTCCCCCAACTGATATCAATCCGTGATCAAAACTACATTCATATATATATTGTAAATATCATCAAATCGTTGAATGAAAAAAGAATTACATGTAAAATAAAACACTTACCGAATCTGTAGTTCTTCTTTTACTGCTACTTTTGCTTCTACTATTATGATCTCTTATACTACTAATGTGATTGGTCATAGCACTAATCATTTCACTAGCCTGCTTCTTTGCACGTCGAGAATTTCGAGTTAGTGAGGCTGTTGATGCAGTAGTAGTCGATGTAACAGAGGTAGCATTATTGCTACTAACAGCTTTACGTTTCCTCATTCTTGTATTCATGCCTAATGAGATGCTTTCTAATTTATTATGTGCATCTGATGATACAAGTTGGGTACCAACAGTCTCCAAGGTGGAGTTTATTTTCCCAGTATATTGTGTACATAGTTCATTATACACTGTTGTACAAATGGATTCACTTTGATTGTCAATATCACTAACATTATTAATATCAAAGTTATTATCAGTATTAAGATCATTGTCATCGTTATTGACTGATTGATTCCATTCACAATTTGGAACAGCTTCATTTGGTCTCGGAGATAAACCTCCAAGACTTTCTGGGATATGACCATGTTGAAATAAATAATGAGCCTGAAATAAAAGGAAATACAAGTGACTGGAGTGGATTACCTCAATATGGTAAATAAAAAATTAACTATAAGGTTCAACTGTTGACTAGATTTGTATTTCACTTCAATCACTATGGGTTTTATCCGACTACCATGTGAATTCATGATGAGTTACTACCGCCTGATTGTATTCAAAATGGCTGCTGTCTAGTCAGGACTTGTCATCCCAATCCAAATCTAACTGAATTAGATAGGGGCAGCATCATATGGATTATTATTTTGACTACCTGAGATAGTGGTCCAAATTTTCATTTCACCTTCAATCATTATTATTATCATAATTTATCCCTTGGATTCCTAGTGAAACATAGGGGGCTTCAGTAGCACGCCTCCATTGCACTCTGTTCTCTGCAATCTTTTCAACCTGGCTCCACGACAACCCAGAAGCTCTCATTTCTTCCTCACATAATCTCCTCCATGTCACCCTCGACTAGGACACCCAACTCGTCGATTCCCATCAGGGTTCCACTCGAGGGTCTGGTCTGTGGCATGATGTCTCCGAATGGTCTTCTCAGTGTATGCCCAATCCACCTCCACTTTCTTCTTCTGTATATTTGTTGGGCGATAGGTTGTTGGTTGGTTGGTTGTCAGCCAGCCAGCCAGCCAGAGTTGCTTGTTGCCTATTCTTATTATTCTGGACATTCATCTGATGTTCATTGTCAGTATCGAGTGAGCGTAGGTGGCAGCTGTTGATGTTTGTCTGTCGAATGTTGGGAATGTTTTTTGTAACGCACCAAGTCCGTGAACCATGACACAGAAGCGCTGACTTGACTGAATTGGTGTTGAAAATCCGGATCTTGTTCCACATGCTGAGTGGAGTGTAGATCTCCACACTGGTTTCAGGCTAATGAACGCCTGCCTTGCTTTTCCGATCCTGGCTTTGACGTCCTCGTCTGTGCCGCCTGTAGTTGAAATGATACTGCCTAGATAAGTGAAAGAGGCTACTTCCTTTAAGTTTCTCCTGTTGATGGTGATTGGAGCTTGTTATTGTTGCTGGTATAAATACTAATCTGCCAAATCACGGCTATCTCAAATGGTTAAGATGATAAAAAACCAACTGTTGATATGATAATAGAGACGTGTAAGGCATTGTGTATAAAGGTAGACCATAAAGACTTGTAAAGGGGGTAAGGTATACCAGGAACGACGACAGATAAGATAGATGAAGTCAACATACAACTTCGCCCACACAAGTCCATACTTTCAACTTGCCACACTTTGGAGTAGTATGTTAAGAATAAATCCATAAAAAAGATTGATATCAAAGCAAAACAAAGTTGTTTGACAAATTAAACAATTTGAAAATCAGGGTTAAGGAAAATATCCAAGCTTTGAAAAATGTCAAACAGTGGGTACAATTGCATAACTGTGACCGATCTTCAACCATTGATTTGTATTATCTGGAGAAATCTAACAAGGAAGTCTACACTTCATTGCACGGTCTAGACTAACAGTCAGAGACTTCATACACTGGTGCCACATTTCTGTCTGGCCAACCCCAGCCCTCTCCAGTGAAGGAGGACACGCGAGTTTCAGATTCTACTGCTGGTCGTCAAAGGAAGTTTAACCCGTGTATACTCCATCGTAGTTTGAGTATTTTATTTCACAAACACAATTAGATTAGGAGTCTACAGAGATCTCATCCTTCACATGTATTAAGGTGCTCTGCAATATATGTTTGATATTCTGTAGAACATTCTGATGCCATTGCATTTTTTGAGCACTCTCTCAATTTCATTGCATGTGTATGATCTGTATAGGATAACTGTAGTTGAGGCCGATGATTTAGGAGTAGTTTTACAATCTAATGTTATCTTCTATTTTGTGAGTGAATTTCAGCGGATAATTATTCAATTTTAAGTATCTTGTTCATATATTTTAATTCCTTAACTCTTTCATTTTCATTCGTTATAAGATTGTATACTCTCCTTAAAAGACTGGAGGTAGTAGAAACTTTCATACTAATTGGATATGATGTATTGAAATCTAAATATTTGTTTGAATGTGTTGCTTTCCTGAAAATGGTTATACTTAAATATCCATTTTCTTTCCATTTAACAAGACAATGAAAGAAGAGCTGAACTTGATACTATATGATATAGAGTTCAGTTGATCTAAGAATATCTGGTATAAGTCACTTTTTAAAATTAAGAATGTCATACGGTATGTTATGATGTTAACAATAACAATAACCAATTTCAAAATGAAGTGAGCTCAGTTTAACAATATGACTACTTTCAATGACTACACATTAACAATATGCTTGTTATAAAAAAAACTACACACATATAGAGTGATACAGAGTAAAAAAGAATTATTAGTACGCATCAATGCAACAACTCACTCGTAATCTAGACGACAATCGAAATACAGCTGAACAACAATGACAAATAAATCTTCGTATTTTAATTGGATTAACTCTGTAATCACAAGTTGATGACATTGTATTCTTCATTTTCCGAAATCCGACAGCAGATTTACGTCTAAACTGCAGTTTTAAGTGTCTACTACTGCTTCTAGTACTCGGTAGAATCCTCTTACGTTGACGAAGCAACCATGAATTCGTCCGACTATGCACACTTCCATTCTCACGTTCCGAAATATAACTTCCAATTGACGGAGAAGGAGGTATATCGCAGGGAAACGATGTTGTTTTTGTTTTCGACGCATTCAAATCCACTTCCTCAACAGCGATAAGTTGATCTGTTACATCGGAATCGAATGAAACGTCTCTATGTTGACGAGAACGCTTAAAAAATACACGGTCCAGAAAAATCTATTAGGAAAAATTATACTACTTATGAGTAAGCAAACTTCAAAAGACAATTTGCTACGTCAACTACGTAGAGATCTAATGGATAACCACTAACGTAGTCGTCAGCATCATCTAAACACAATGAATCCACGACCTTCATGTTTTTTTGGAAAATACTTTAGTGCTTAGTGTGATTACAGGAGAAAAACTCAGATAAAACAGCTACCCTATATATATATATATATATATATATATATATATAATATATATATATATATATATATATTACTTCAACGGATTTAAAGGAGTTGCTGGTCAAGTGTGTACAATGAATCTTTAATTCTTGCTCAAATCAAAATGTACAAGCAAATAGATGGTGTAGTGAGGGGATCCTCACTAAGCCTTATATCTGCTGACATTTTTCGCGAAGTTAGGAAATGGACCGCTGAACAATGACGTTGCCAACACAGGTTTGCATTGCCAGTACATGGTACATTTTTAGCCTATAGTAAATACGGAAAACGAATATCCTACGAGGTTTATGGAAGCAAACATAGCACATAATACTCCCGGAAATGAACTAACGAGAGTTCAGAAGAAACCTTTGTTTCTATATCTGCTATACAAAAGAGATACTGAGAATGAAATTCTATCACACAAACAACATTTTACTCAGGACGTCTGCGGTTATCTCTTAGTAGCCAATCCTTGTTCAAGCCGAGACTTAAGGATGTCTTACACGATTTGAGCTCATCATAATGCATATACCAATTCAACTGTTCCTGTGGAACAAGTTACATAGGGCGTACTACTAGATACGTCTATCTTGTGATACGAGAACATCTACTAGCTTGGTTTATAGAGGGTGAGGTCAAATCCATTAGAAGTTATATACTAGCACAGCCTTTACTTTTATTATCTCATGTTTCGTATTTTAACTATTTTATGATGATATGTTCACTGCACTTCTACCCTTCTGGTAAATTCATGTTGTCGTTCTTTGTAGCATCTACTAACCCGATACAATGTACACTTGAACTCTACTCATATTTTTCCTTCCCCAATCAATCAATTGACACTTAGCACTTTACACTCAACTTATTACCGTAAGTGACCTTCGTGTATAAATTACACCATTATCCACAAGCTGAAACAATTACTGAGTTAATGAATTTGATTTTATAACTGTAGAACCTGATGAGAAGTTAATGATAAGAATATTCTTCGTTCATATTTGATGAAGTATCAAAGTACGGGTATACTATGCTGCAGTTCCTCCTCTCTTCTTATACGGCTGTGAGACATGGCCATTCAAGGTAGAAGAAATGAAGCGGTTACAGGTATTCGATCACAGATATTGCTATAACAGTTCTCGCGTTTAATGGTTGCATCATACGAAAGGAATGTAGAAGTCAGGGGGAGAGTATCAGGCAAAGTAGACAACCCGACTGATGAGGTTGTGAACCTTAGTCGATTGAAAAGGCTCGGACATGTACTGACTATGGTAAGCCACCCATTACCTACTTCGACGTACCATGCTAAGAGAAGTTAAATTAGGTTACAAGAGGGCTCACGGTGGTCGGACCAAAACTTGGCACCAGCCTAAGGAGTATCTAACTAATGGTATAAGTGATGTGGGGAGATGTCACGTGCTTGGCTAGAGTTGTCGAGTCGGTACGAAGCAGTGGCTGAGGACACTTGGTAAAATGGTTGAAAATCGGTCAGAATGGCGCAGATGTACTCACTTCTGAACACCTTCTAAAGCTTGAACATTTGCACTAACCGTTATCGTCAAATTGTTTGTTCTCGCACACTACTTTTTCCACTTTAATATCAGTCTTTTTCTATCCACTTGTTCTTTGAATGCTCTGCGAAGTGAAGTAACTTCAACCGACGCGCTTATGTGCAAGGTGCCAAGTTGATTTTGTTCGTCTGTCTCTAATTCAGCTTTTGATGAAAACTAACTTGAGATGGATCATGTACCCGCGAAATACCAACCAGAATTTTGGTGCACGATCAAGTAAATGATGAAATCAGCTCATCACGTAATTTTGCAATGTGGCCACCAGGCTAGAGGGCATACCATTGCGAGATTGCAGATACGCTTTGTTGACAAGTGCCAAAAAAAGCACGAAACCTCGGTTCAGGGCTTCTTGCTGATTATCTCCATCCCACCAATATCTGCCTCAGGGCATCCCTATGGTGAACCTCCTAGCTTGGCGGCCACATTTCAATCGATCGGAGTAAACGCGTGTCCTGGATTCCACTGCTAGCCATAACCAAGGCTATAATAACTTATTACTATTATTGTTACGTAATACGTTCATTTCAAGATGTAGAAATTCACTATTAGGCTGAAAATTACATTTAGAGATGCATACTTAGTGGTCAAGAGTTGACCCAGTGATATAAATGATCTGAAAACTATGAAGTTACATTGATTTCTATGAAGTTAATATGCAGCTTTAGTTAAAAGGTTGACTCACTTTATTTTTTAACGTTAAATTGCGTTTGGCACGTTGAGCTGCTAGTAAACTAGTTAAAAACGTGGATGGACAATAGTCTGTCGATTTGCTACTTTGTTCATGACTACTTATTGAGGAAGTCATGGTTGTTGGTGATACGCTGGCGTCAGTAATACCAGAAGCGGTGGTAGGGTTCGTTGTGGTGATGTTATCAGTACACCTTGTTGTTATTGGCACTTCTAACATTGCTTCCGATTGATGGATATCACTTATCATATCTCCGTCGGAAGTGTAATTTTCGATAAAGTCATCTGAAGTATTTTCTACAGTTGATTTTCGACGACGCTGACGTCGTTTCTCTCCAACTCGTTGATTTTTTAACATGTAAAATCTTTCAGTAAGATTACGTACTACACTACGAACAGCTGCATCTGAACACGGATGAATACTTGATGGTATATTCCTCTGAACAAAGAAAATATACACAAAAACACCATTACTGAGTATATAAGGATTACATCTGGCGAATGAACAGAGCTGGAAAGCATTAAATCCTGGATATTGAACATACCCTCGGGAAAGCATAATAAAACACAGTTTAATGATCTATCCATTCACTTAGCCAGCCCCCGTATAAACTATTCATTCAACCCTTAACCCAATCTATCCACTTCAATTAAGTTGATTAATTTGCATATTCATTCCTTACACATGGAATGACTTAAAGAATAGTAGCACAAACCAGGGTGTGGTAACTGAGTTACATTTTAAAAATGTCGTATTTATTATCCACGATGTAGATTCTCCAAAGGAATTCGCACACTATAACAGCAGTGAACAAAATACATAACTGTTCAGCAACCTCCAGTTCCCAGTAAATAGTGAACTGAATTGGATACTTGTTAACAAATATGTAAACTGAATAATAACCTGATGCTCGTCAGTGAACAGCTTTAAGATAGACTTCCGGAAGTTTATATGAGAAGCCATTATCAGTGAGGTCAACGGAGTTAGATTTGAGGACAAATACTCAACGAGAACATTAGATAAGAGTCGAAATATATCGCAAACTAATAAAAGTAGGAAAATGTGGAGCACAATATTGCAACCATGTGGTAAGACCTGATGGGATTCGATTTGATCCCATGCGAGGAGTCGTCAGTATATATTATTGAGGAGTCTAGAACTGGGGTAGAAGAGGCTTAGCTTATGCTCATATATATCCACTAGCCTTTGGAAAAAGTTTAGTGAATAATAAATCCATTAAGCTAAATAGGCACCAACAACAAAAAAGACGATATCAACCAAAGTAAAAAAGAGAAAAAATATTGTACTTATGGGAAGAAATCAGAAGTTCAAACCATGACAGAGAAACTTGATATATACAATTAAATAGCATGAAAACAATCCGATACAATAAAATTCGTAACACCTAGGCAATTTAATAATTGTTCATTACTTTGATATGAACTAAATCATAGCTTACTGATGACATTCCATATTTTGGTTGATATATATTGATCATTAATGGGTTAAAGATGGCAACAGGACTTAATTTGTCAAACAGCAAATGACTCATTAACTTATTCACAATCACTCATCGAATCTACATCAATTTTATCAATTATAAAATCCAACAGTATCTACAAACATCTCAGGCTAAGGATAAGCTTTTTCAGAGTAGGAATAAACATTTGGTATTTCATCATTTCTACTTAACTGGTAAAAAGATCACACAATGAACTGACCAAGTAATCACAGTCCAACCTTTATACACCGTTTTTCGATAGCATTCGAATTGAAGTTACAGATTAGAGTCCAAAGCTGATGGATATCCGACGAATTCCAAGTGAAATTACTCTACAAAAATTTACTTACATCATTACAGTATTGTCCTTTAATACCTAAGTTTAGTCAAGTGTTTTACTGTACATTAGTAGTAACGCTAGATTGAAGGATCAGAGTTGTTTGGAATTTATTCATTACATCAGTCAACTTTGTCTTGAGCCAACCTAATTAAATAGTCTTAAATCAAAGAGTTGGGGTAGCAGAGGTTTTCAACTAGTCTATGTTTGAGTCTTTCTATCATCAAGGTTCCTAGAAAGATGATATATCTTATATATACATATATATATTTGACTACATTTATGTACATAATTCAGACGTAGGGCTGATGCTTGGAAGAGATTTTATTGAAGTGCACATTTAATGTCCAATTTAGTTTCAATCATGAAATCTATAGACAGAAGGATGGAATTGCTATGGGTTACCATTGGGATCATTGTTAGTAGACTTTTTGATGTCAAAACTAGAGAATTGTTAACTTTGTCAAACTATTAATTGATTTGACTTTTATAGAAGATATGTGGACAACAGGTTTGTTATCTGAGACAAACAAGTTGATTTAGACGCTGTTCTTCGTTCGTTCAGTGACTGTCATCTAGCCCCCAAGTTCACTATAGAGAAGCAATCAAAATCAACTATTCCTTTTCATGATGTGTTTCTCACCCGACGTCAGAATGGATACTTCAAAAGATCCATCTACAGAAAAGCAATGTGGAACAGACAACTAACTAATTTTTATAGTTAGGTGCCTATCAACAGAAAAAGAAATCTTATTCACTCTCTCTGTTATCGAACAAGAAATATCTGTAGTGAAGATTGTACTGATGAAGAGCTATCGTTTTTAAAAAGCTCATTTATCGAAAATGGTTGCCCATTCAATCTTATTCATAAAAATATGCAAGAAAGAAATATTAAACAGGTCATCCACTCGGTCTCAAAGAAAAGATTGTTCATGAGCCTAGAATTTAAAGGTGACCAAGCATTAGATGTACTCAATAATCGTCTATGCAAATCAAACAATAGGAATTTCTTCGCAGCAAAACTTTAATTGACTTTTACCACCTGTAAACTATTCTCCGTTTGTGTTAACGACAAGATTCCTCGTTTAGTCACCTCTATGTGCATCTGCCACTTCACCTGCTTTTGTGAAAAAGGTACACCGGCCATAGTCACAGAATGCAGTTTGGTTCTATATAGGTGAAAGTCTACTAGACGTTCTATTCAAGAATATTTGATTGACTTCCATCACTCAATAAACCCAGACAATGACTTTAAAATTACTTATTGAATTCGTCCAAACCTCCCACGTTCTCTTCGTTTTCAACTTCTTAAAACAGCGGAGGCTTTAACTATTCATGAACTAAAACCTGGCATGTATGTACAAAAGAAGTATGTATAGCCATGGCTATAACATTTTCCCACCCCCATTAGTTTCCCTTCCCTCTTTATTAATTTAATCTTTATATCCTTCCTTTATCACTATTGCTGTTACTATAATTGCCTTCACTTTGATTAGTTTCCGGTGTTATTTCACTTAATTGTCTTAATCATTTTAGAAAACATTGACTTCCTCTTGATCAACTTGTCTAACCTTATTACATAATACTCAATTGATTTACCACTCTCGTCAATTATTCCACTCCCTTCTGAGTTATATACCTTCTATGAACCATTCCGCATATTACGTAATCTACTCCGCTACCACTCATACCACTCATATATATATATATATATATATATATATATATATATATATATATATATAATATTTGACAAATTATATCCCGTGGGAAAACTAAACAGGGCATGGTGATGACAATAATAATAAAAGGGATGATGACATAGGTATTTGTGACTAAGATAACAATTGAAGTATGAGTGGTAGCGGAGTAGATTACGTAATATGCGGAATGGTTCATAGAAGGTATATATATATATATATATATATATATATATATATATATATAATACACTGTACAGTCTGTCTTTCATAAAGACTTTGAAATCCTTTAGGTAGCTCTTAATTGTTTGAAAAGACCAAACAGAATCAACAGTTCAACTGTTCACCATTTCCTTGATATGGGAAATGAATTTGACATCAAGTTGATGGTAAAATATATATTATAAGGTGAAATTTCAGAAAATTTGTACAATATTACATTTAATTTATTTAGTATCACACTAAACAAAGTCCATTACGGAACATTATCTCTTAGCAAGTTTGTTAACAGAATGGTTTACAGAGGATCAGTCTGAATATCTCTGCCAACAACTATTTGCTCTAAAATCAATGAGGAAACTTGACTAATGTAGCAAACGAATTTCAAACTATACTAAATCTTTAATACGGTATTATAGCAAATGGACACTGTAATGATTCCCTTTCAAGGCAACCAGGCATATATGGGATTCATGAAGTGTGCTAGCCAGTTAGATGCTTGTTGGTACTCGTCAGCTAGGCGTCACCGCAAATCCAAAGGAACCAATGTCTTCCTCCAGGACTCCAACCTGCGCCATCCAATGTCACAATCAGAGACGTTACCACTGAGATATCCTGGCGGTAACTGACCTCCTTGAGGATTGGGTTGCATGCATTGATTGGTTACTGGACTATAACAAATTTCACGTTATCTAGTCTTGAATGCTGACAGAATTCTATCGACTGTTTTGAGTAATGACGCCACCAAGCTAGGAGGCTCAAAATTGCGCTCCATTTTGATGGATGTTATTTGGTTAGAGGAAATTAATCAAGGGTTGTTCTTCAGTGACCATTCAATGAATTCATTATATATATATATATATATATATATATATATATATATATATATATATATATATATATATATATATATATATATCAAATGAACACATACAAAGCGGTTGTAGACTTCAGATAATAAAAGTTTGAATCAAATGAAGTCATACTTCGTCTTGCTAGGGATAACACCCATCTTTGTCTCAAGTTATGTCCCATGCAACTTCCTGTTACATATGTTACCCATAGCTGGTCACTGTTTAAGGTAACGGGACTAAAAAGTAGCTTCCATCCCAAGAATCTAACAGATTCGGTCTGAGTCGTACAATGAAATGTAAACTTTCAGACTGTTTTCCATACTAAAACTAAAATCGATGGTTGGAGACTCTAGATGGTGTGTATTTGAATCAATCACAGTGGCACAGATGTATGCAGACTATATCTTCATCCTAACCATTACACAACACTTCTTTATTTGCTTTACCCCTTATTCTTCTTTTTGCATGACTTTCTATGAGTTTCAGTTATGTTACTCCTGCTTCTCTGTCTTGCAGCATCTTGTTGCCTTGTATCTTAATATGTTGTCGTGACGTGAGGAAACCCGGACCGTTACGCAATAATACCAAGTCTTATGCTCGTAATAACTGACTTACGTTCCCTCTTAGTGTTTTTTTTGAACTATCGTCAACGGTTATGTTTTTATTACCATCAGTTGCGTTTTCGTTGATTTACTCGATAAGTTAAAAGTGAAGCATAGCATCCTACTTCCATACACCAGATGAGAATATCCGTTTGGCATTTGCCAACTTGCATCATATGTGGTACCAGTGAGATATCCAACTATCTATCAAAGAACAAGTGTAATGCAGTGAAGTCCGTTCTGTCCTATCATAATGGCTGTGAGAAATTGTCGTTAAATGTAGAAGACATGAAGCGGTTACCGGCTTTCGATCACAGATGTCTCCGTAGCGGTTCCACCATACGCGAGAAGTGTAGAAGTCAGACGAAAAGTACTAGACAAGACAGACAAACCATTCGATGAGGTTGCGAACCTTCATCGGTTGAGGCGATTTAGACACGTACTGCGTATGCCGAGCAACCGTCGCCTACCTCGACGTGCTGTGCTATGGGACGTTGGATTAGGTTGGAAGAGAGTTCAGGGTGGTTAGACCAAGACGTGACACCAGTCCATGAAGTCTCTTACTATTGGTCTAAGTTGTATGGGGAGATGAAAACTATCTGGTTGTGAAAGGAACCAGTGGTTGAGGACACTGGGTAAAATGGATGAAAATCGGTCAAAATGGTGCAGATGTATTCACTCCTTGACATCTTCCGAAGCTTGAATATTTGCACTAACCGTTGTCTTCAAATTGTTTTTTCTCTCACACCACTTTGTCTACTTTGATATCGTTCTTTTTCTATCCACTTTTTCATTGAATACGAGCGCAAAGCGAAGTAACTTCAACCGATGAACTTGTATGCAAGGTCCTACTTTGATTTTGTCTGTCTGTCTATCTGCGACATCACATAACATGGTCAGACTTTGTGTCTGTTTACCCATCTAGCAAAATGGTACGTTTCGTAGATAATTCAAAGCACCACCGCCAGCAAAAAAACAACCAGCGAAATAAGTAAACTTGAGTGTAACAGACTTGTTTGGAAATGGACAATTACAAAGAATCAATAGAATACATGAATATATTTCTATATGAAACAGTTTTAATCTATTTGAAGTCTTTTTTAAGAGTGTATCTATGGTTTATAGATTCAGATACACAATACTTCAAACCCCATTCCAATTGAAAGGCTGTAGAAAACCAAGCATTAGTATCATTATTTCTTGCACAGTATGTGTGGTTAACATCCCACCGCACTCATCTATTCATAGTCATTGAATAGTAAAATTACCATCATATGAAAAATACAGACTGGTTACATGAATCATAAAAAGTTTACCTTCAAAGAACGTTTCTTTTTACGAGTTATTGAGCAAACTGACGGTCGAAGATGTTTTGATGGTTGTGGTGGTTCAAAACCACTGTCTATTCCATGGACGGAATGTGATGATGACTTGTGTCTGAAAATAAAGAAACGATGATAAGTAAACAGCTGACAAGGGTAAATGACGTCATACGTAGCTGACTTTAATTCATCGTTCTTACTAATTCATGGAGGTATTTTTATAGTTTACGACATTAGTCATCCAAAAAATGTTAAAACCAGCTGAGGACAGTTACTTAGAAACATTTGCGTTTTATGTAGCTACCTAATGACTTTGTTAAGATAGTGATCATAAAGAATTAACTGATGATGAGGGGTGCAAAAAAGGACGAAACAGTTCCTCGACGTTTGAAGCGATGGGTGCCGAGCTCGAGTCCCGGCAGGAAAAACACTCACTGCGGTGCAAGTACATCCAGTTGATGGGTCCCAAATAGGACGAGGCGCTCGCCCTGAATCCCACTGCCAGCCATCAAATAGACTACAATATAATGAATATCCAGGAAGTATCGAGGCATCCGCATAGAAGCCAACAGAGGTCGAGCAATTCGGCCCTGCACAGCAACGGGAAACTACAAGTATCACTAAAACAATATATGATACTCGTTGTATAAGTGGTGGTTCTCGTGCCCAGTGTCCTAATGGAGAATGCTTTGAAGTTTGACCCGGTGTATACTGGAGTCGAGTCTCAGTAGGGATAACATCACTCACTAGGGTGCAGGCACATCCAGCAAATAGGACGAGATGAATATCTTGGATTCCATCCACGATACACTTTTACTCCTAGCATTTGTTCAACTGATAGCAAGTTCTAACAAAATAATTGATCACTAATCAATCAGTAATTATTAGTCACGTGTTGCAGAAAGGCATTTTATGACTTCTTATTGGAGATATCTGTGATCCCTATGGTCAGACAGATCGAGTATAGTGAAAAAGATATAAAAACATGATCCATCGTATTCAGCATTTATTTTTAAGCATTTTACTCCTAAACTAGCAATTTAATTTAAGATGAGTTTCCCCATGGAAGCGGTACTAACGAAAGTCTTGTAAGTAACTTGACCATATAAAACAGACAACGTAAGAGCCGATTGCCTGTTTGACAATAAGCTGATGAGTATAAGAATCAATTCAAGGAATAATCATACCATTTTAATGATATTGTATAAAAGTTGTAAATGTCAAATACCATCAGAAATAATATAGTAGAGCTTACTTTTCAAATTCTTCATATGATGTAAATATAACACTTGACTTGTAACATAGACCACATCGTCTACTCAAGAAAACACCATCAATAGGATATTGTTTTTCTGTAATTCTATCTTTGAAAATGTATTAAAACTTTTTAATGAATTATTTATAAACACTCGACATGGTAAATGTAATCGACCCCAATCAAAACATTCATGTGCTAAGAGAACAGCATGATTTTTAAAAATTCCTTGACATCGCCAACAGACAGGTGCTACACTATTACTTATATGATCATTGTATAAATGCTTTTCTAAGATTGGCCAATTTTCAAAGTTTACTCGACATAATGGACAGTTTAAAAATGTTTCATCATTGCATAATTGATATTGTGAAACAGTTGTTAGTTGCTTAAAATTGTTAGAAGAATTGTTATCCACTAAGATAGAATTTTCTTGAAACTAAATTAAAGAAAATTATTTTATAGGAGAAAAAAGTTAACTTTTTATTTTTCAAATACCATTAAATTACAATAACTATAGAGTGTATTTATGTGGTTTTTAAGCGCAAGATTATAGTTCCAACAATAATCCACTGATTTCAGGTTGGAATTCTTTATGGATTGACATTAGTTGAAGGAACATTGGAAACTTGAAAGCATAGAATAGCTGTTGCATACGAGTATGGGACTCCTCAGCAGTGCGCATCCATGAATTCCAACATAAAATCAACTGATAAATCTCTACAAACCTTTAGATAGAAACCACTGGTCACTTACCAATGGTTAATTTTATTGTAGGTTGAATGGGAAGTTATCCAAACAAAATGAATTGGTAGACATAAAAGAATGATAATCCTGCTATAGAATAGACTATCCAAGATTAATGAAATGCTGATCATTAACTTATCATCCTATGATTGTGCAGCTAATCAAAAGATTATAAAGCCCTGATGAAACTGATATTTCCCAATGTTAAGTACTCCCATACTCAGAAGAAGGAAAAAACAGATTCCTAGGGGTTCCTAGTTTTTCATGGTCATTCAGCAGTTATAATTTTTTGAGAAAAAATGTTTAAATTAAACAAGTTTCTACAGATTCTTAACTAGAGAAATTACCCAACTGTTAGAATTACTCAAACAGGAAATTAAATGAATAATAAAAAGGTGTAATTGAACTAACAATAAGTTTAGTTACCTGAAAGGTTAAAAATGCACTTCCTGGTTAGGGTCTGTGTGACAACAGAAACCAAAGGTTGAAAACTGTAAGTGATATCGCTTAGAACCGACCTCAATGGCATAGGTGTATCTGACTAACTGACTTACTGACTAACAAAATCAACTTAGAACCCAGCACACAAAGGCAACACTTCATATTAGTACACAAGAACAGATAGAAAAAGAGTGATATCAAAATAGATAATCTCTTTTGACCATCTCATTTTTTTTATTCAAAGTATTTCATCTTCATGAAATCTAGATTGGTGTGCTGATCCAAGATGTGACAACCTGGTCTCTTACGTAGAAATGCCAGATTTGATCTACGCTGATATTGTCAGTGTCTGTATAAATGCAGATGTACTTGATTAGGATCATAGGTACATCAGAAACTGATTATTGAAGACCCTTCGATGAGGTTATTCAAGGTCAATCAAAATTCAGCAGATAAATTAAATCTTTATTATCCGAAATTGGTTGTTTTCCGGTGATGAATCAGTGTATAAATTGAAATGTTTATTAGGACATCACAATGAGTAAGGATGAGATATTACAATCTTCCATCCGACATAGTTTATGTAATCATACCTGTATTTTACTTCCGAAAATAACTGTCCCCTGGTTTCTGTCGATTCTTTGCTCTTACTATATATTTTCTCTGTGGCTTCATGGCTCCTTCTCTAAAACCTCTACACATTGAAAGTCGATTATCATGCTGATATCGCACTCTATACTAAAGGTAGCACACAATCAAATACGCTTTTCCTACGTGACTTTATGACGTGCTTATGTTTAAGTGAGAGGTTTAAAACATATATTCCGCTGAAGACATCTAGATTTACATACTAGGTTAATTAACCGCAATACTGGGATTCCTGACTCCCCAAACATTCGTAGGCAAAGAAGAATTTGAAATTTCAATGCTTCAGTTAAATTCCTTCTCCTAAACTTTTGAGCCCTCAACTTGACTGACAGATATCAAAATATCAGTTGATCGAATCAATTGCCATGATCTGCAGTGAGTTACGTTGCTGAAAATTCTTTATTTGTCAGTACTTGTGTAGGATATTGTCTTGTGATGTTAGTGTACAGTCTAAGTGTAGTGTCTGTTGAACTTAATTACTGGCATTCACTTATGTGGTCAGTTAACATTCACATAGTTCTCAATCTAGGTAATACTTGTTGATGATGATTTATCTGTAAAACATGTTTTGGTACCGAACGATAACTGAAAATATCCCAGTCATTTTCTCAGTTTTTAAAAATTATTCTGCATCACAGGGATACAACAAATTACTACCACATTACTCTTTGTGTGTTATCCCGAAATTTTGTTCTCGATATTCATCGTCAATTTGTGTTTGGGAGTTTGGTGAAATTAATTCGTCACTTAAAACTTATCACATTTATCTGTTAGTTGAATAGAGGCTATTGACAGGAAACATTGAAGTTAGGTTTCTCCCTTCTTGGCACTCGTCGGGAAGACGTGTCTCCAACCTCTAAGGAACTGATATCACACTTGAGATTCGAATCTGCATCATCCAGTGCTGCAGTCAAAGACGTTACTACTGAGTTATTCGGGCCGCAATTGACCTTGTGTAGGACTGGATTAGGCACAGTGATTAGTCACTGGATAGTAATCAATCAAAGTGTAATACAGTCTCTAACTTATCGACTGAATATAAAAACTGTAGGAACTTTCAATGACCAGATTAATATATGAAATAAATCTATGCAAATAAACCCCCAGATACCTCACGATTCGAGGTTTGTATTTTATCACTCAATACTGTTTGTTAATATTGTACCATATTTTAGACAAATCCTGTGTTTTGGATTTTACGCGTAACTTGAACGTTTGGTTTACTGTTGACAAGTAGCTTGTTCGCTTCGGTTCTGAATTTCGAGGAAAGAAATTCACAGAAATCATATTTCCTAAACCTTTTTTTATTTAAAGCTATATCTTATTGTGCCGTATGATTTTAAGTAAACCATGATTAAAGATAATAAGTAAATCATGCAATAAAAACACTGACTGATGAATATTACGTTTCTATTCTTTAAACTACTGACATACATCAGAGCGAAATGACTGAATCTTAGATGTTGATTGAGCATCCAAAGAATAATCATACTGTGCGTTAATTGATATATCTTAGTAACCCTTCAAATACGATGTGATACATTTAATTATCTAATGTGACCCTTACCTTCTAAAACAATACAGTAATGAAAACTCAATGGATAAACATCTATTCCTTATACATGAATCTAAAATCTGTGGTCAGTTGTAACATACAGATTATCCTTTGGGTAGTGTATGGAATCATTGTAAGGCTAGTGAATGAAAGTAATAAGGATATGAATTTTTGAATGAGTTGAAAAAAATACACATATGATTAATTTTCTCACCGTTTCACCGAGATTTAATTCATTACTTGAATCACAACAATTGAATGCTGGTGGATCCGTTATAGACAGAAATTCGTCAACATCAATTACTTCTGAAAAATAATATATCCATACATATCATTCAAAATGTCAAACGTCAACTTACCTGAAAAGTCATGACCATCTATACTGGTATCATGATTCACTGTTGTTGCTAGTGTAGTGAAATCAGTCACTTCATCAACTGCTACAGTTTCTGATGTTGTTTCAGTTAATTGTAAATAATTCAGATTTGGACTTGTTAAGTTGGATAGATTTGGAGATTTCTTCACCATTTGATTTGTTGACGAACTATTAGTTATACTACTAGTATTGATAACATCACTTTTACTGCTGCTACTATTACTACTACTACTACTACTGTAATCATAGTTGTCGTTACTATTATTGTGACATTTGTCTTCTCCACCACTTTCTTGAATCTGTGATAAAGTTGTTTTCATGTATGTAATTAAACTATCCCTTTCACTTGGTTGAATGTTTTTGAGATTATTAAAAAGTAACACGAGTTGGTTCCGTATGGATGCCAATTCCATGGTATACAAAGATTGATTTTTTATTTCTGTCTATCAAGTTCAAACTAACTGCCAGGATGCTATTGATACATAAATCTAAAATAAAAAGGTTAAAAAAAACGTAGTATTTATGCATATCAAATATCCATACAAGTAAACATAGAAAGTATTACATAACTTTGAGTTGAATCCACCTAATTAAACAATCCAGACCCTATAAAGACTGTCTCCAACCATACAACGTGAAATACAGACATCCACAAATAGTGACCACAGTACATCCATTGATTGTAGAAATCAATCAACACTGAAGACTAAAACATCACCCTATTTAAAATTGATGACTAGCTTATGTATACCGACAGACGATACTCATATAAATGACGTGTTTACAACTGCTATTATTTTTTCATCAATGAAATATACTGTCGTACATATAACGCAAGGAATAGCATACACTTGAACGTCTAAATGACAAACCGTACGAGAGGTGTCTTTGTAATTACCATTTCAAACAAACTGTACACTAACTGTCCAGGAACGGTGAATCTTGTGGTAAGTTCTAAAGTTTTTACTAACACTAGTTTGGTAACTTGGCGTTTATGCTAAACAATAACAATTTTTCGGTAAAATCAGTAGAAAATAGCAATATAGTTTCCTTTTTTCCATAAATTTGACTGACTGACTGCCAAAATCATTGTAGAACCTCGCACACAAGTGCAACGGCTCAAGTTGTCACGCTTCACAGTAGTAAACAAAAAACAGGTGGATAGAAAAGGAGGAATATCAAAGCAGGCAAAGTGGTGTGATATAATAAACAATTTGAAGATGAAGGTTAGTGCGAATATTTAAGCTTTAGAAGATATCAAGGAGTGAATACATCTGCACTATTGTGACCGACTTTCAACCATGTCACCAAGATTCCTAAACAAATGATTCCTTTCCTCTCAAGAATCGCAACCAGGCAGTCTGTATTTCCCAGCACGGCTCCGATCAGCAGTCACAGACTTCATCGAATGGAGCCACGTATTGTTCTGGCCACTCTGAACTCTCTTCCAGCTTAATCCAACTTCCCCCAATAAGCCACGTCGAGACAGGCGGTGGCTCGGCATGTGGAGTACATGTGGAAGCCACCTCAGCCGATGAAGACTCAGAACCTCATCGAATGACTTGCCTGTCTTCCCTAGTACTCTTCATCTGACTTCAACATTTCTTACACCATGCATGATTCCATCAAGCGCGAGCAATGTTAAGAAAATATGTGATCAAAACCCTGTAATCGTGTCATGTTTTCTACTTTAACGACTATGTCTCAGCCGTATAACAGGGTAGGACGGACTACAGTGCAGTATAAAGCTTCTTTGATAGATAGTCGGATATCTTGCCAGTCAGCATCACAGATGACGCAAGTTGGCAAATGTATCCTCGCATTGAAATTTCGTCAGCAGCCAACCCGTCCAGGCTGGAGTTGCACCAGCAACACCCCACATGAGTTAAGTGGTTGACGCATCCCACTACTTCAACCTTATCATTAAACTGGGAGTACTTGTAACAGACCAGCCCTGCAGCAACTTATACTTGAAAGGTGTCAGTGACACGCATGGTAAATATTCTCAGGTTTCGGCCCAACGTGTTCACAAGACTGTATTTTGTCAGCGTCTCCACCCAACAGAATATCGTCTGCATACTCTAAGTTAACTAGATGACCCCCACAGCTCAGTCCCTGTGAAGTCAGACGTACCTTAGGTTATGTCCATCAGTGCGTCTATGACTAAGGTGAGTAGGAACGGTGACAGTGGGCATTCCTGGCGGACACTAGTTGTTGTCAATTCTAATAACATTTTTCCATAAGCCTTTACGCCGTTGCTTGAGTTCTAGTCAGGAGCTTTGATAAGCGTTATATACTTGCCCGGTATTCCTTTCACAGTCAGACACTGCCACAACATCTCATGGTCAACTGAGTCAAATACCGCCTTCAAGTCAAGAAATATGGCAAGTGTCGGCCGCCGGTGGGTATGCCAGTTCCAGAACATGACATCTCGCACCAATCAGTTCGGATAACGTCGCGGAAATCCAGTGACACTAACCTTCGGGTGTAGGTTACCAATTTTCTTCACCACTGTCTTTACAGAAGATTTGATATCACACTAGGTCTCCTCAGGATGAGCGTTTCTGTCGTGTTCAGATAAATTCTTAACTAGCTACTCTCTAAGCGCGTACCTGGCTTCCTCATCTACCAATCGAGCACAGATGCGCCTCAGTTCCTCCTGTTTTCTGCGACCAGAAAGGTGGGGACAAACACGACCCCGTACTAGCCCGTGATCGGAGTCCAAATTGGTACTCCCGGAACAGGGGCAATCCTTCACCGATCCTCTCCAACGATGACTTATAGCAACGGGATCTATCTCCGTCCATCATTGGTTTGATGTCGGTGGACACCATGTGAGAGTGTCTCTCCCTATGCATAAAGTTAGTACTGGCCAGAAATAAACGATTTTCGAAGCAAAATTACAACAGGCGATCACCTTTATGGGTTTATTGGCATGGAATTCCGTAAATACCCCCAAGATACCATTCCGATTGGCTCAGCTTCCCTCCTTGAGCGTTAAAGTCATCTACAATTATGACTACATTTGGAAGTTTTGCTTTCTGTAACAAAACTGACAGCTTTTCACAGAATTCATTTTCTGCATCATCTGAACTGAAGTAGGTTGGTGCGTAGGCGATTACGAATAGGCGTCGCCTAGTCTCGTGATCCTTTGTAGCCTTTACAAATCCATTTAATTGAACAGCACATGGTCGGCAATTGTTAACCGGTATCCAGCCAAAAAGTACATTTTTTGCTCTACAACTCAATGGTGTGCCTACACTGAGTCCACAAGAGCTAGCCATTGGGTCTCCAGATACTCAAAAGGTGAATTGTGAAGGTTCACTACTATGGCCAGGTGAGGTCAATTTGATAACTACACTTGGGAAGGCAACATCAGCGTGACACTGCTGGTCATCCAGGAGAAAACACCTTACTGCTGTCACATCCCAAACAGCTAGCAGCAATACGACTTTGCCTTCAAAACTCCATCGTAGCGTAATAATTTACACTACAGGAGTAACTGCAGAAGTTCCTTCTTCATCTTCGAGGTTGCCTAAAGCTCTCTTACTCACTTACTAATCCACATAGTTCCATTTCATCGGAAGATACGATGATAAGTTAAGATACTGCTTTTATTTCAAAATGTGATATTTTAAAATATATTGTCAAAACCAAAAAATAATGCCATTCTTGAACTGCTTTGTGACCTCGGATCGACAACTTTACGTTTAAGTTGTGGTTTGGCGGAATTAATTCGCGATGACTTCAGTGACATAAATATAAATTTGGTTTAATATGGTCATTTACCTTCATTTATTAAATCTACAGACTGTATTATACCTTATATTTCTCTAAATTCAGGAAATCATGAGGGGATAACTCACGCTAATCACTGGTTTAGAACTAAGGCGCTTGGTCATACAATAAATTGTAACCCCAAATAGAGTACCGTGAAGCCTGATAGTAGATTCGCAAAGGTACTAAACACAGAACCGCATATTCCTAGTCGTAAGACTTGGATTATGACATAATTTGGAGTAAAATCTCAACTGGTTAGACCCAATGTAGGGAGATGAATCCCTAGACAGATATTTTGAACTCTACCACGGTAGGATCGTACGGTCCGTACCCTTAAAGCTATTGCAATAGCTATGACAATTCAGTTATTTAAGGTACAATCTCCGATGATTCACACACCGACCCCTCTAAATTGTTTTGTTCTGGAAGTTTTCATACGAAATTAGATTTACATTTCGAATGAGCTTATCGAGCATCCATACAAATTCGACTCCATAAACTACCTCTTATCAAAGAAGCGGTACCGCTGCTGTTGTAAGCAGCGCTGTGACAATATCCAATCCCCAACATTGGTAAAGCGAAAGCTTAGTATATTATATTAGAAGGCAACAGCGTATTTCAGCATCATCGAATGCCAACACCAACAGCATGAGTAGAGGAGAATCATAGTTTTTCAGCTGCCGCTTCTAGGTCTGAAGTCTCGGTTCTTTTTATTCGTCTATGCTCCTTCGGTGGTGGCAGAAGTCTTTACATTTTTCTGGACGGAGTGACTGCCTATTTGAAGGTACTTTTTATTGCAAGGTGTGGACAGAAATAGGGTGAGTGGAGAGTGAAAAAAGGGGAGTGAAAGGCAATTCTGGGAAAATATGTTACTGGTAAAGATATGGGGAAGTGATGCGTCTCATTGCAGATGTTAGGGTAAAGGAATACAAGTGCTACCTTCCTTATATCCACTAAAATCCTTTGAAAAATAACAATTCAGACCAACGAGTGTCATCGGTACAGCTGTAACCGTTAATAAGGTCACCACTATACCAAGAATACACTATGCAGTGCTTGGTCTATCAAAAGTATGACTTGATGGTCATTCCCCGGACCTGCAAAGGCCCACATTTAAAATAAAAAGACACTACAGGTTTGTCACGGACAATAATGGACGGACACTTGCACAAGGTTTGAGCAGGTGGACCAACCAAGATCCCCTGACAGCGTCCCACACTACAGTATGTTGCTAAATTTGCAAAGATGGGTATAGCATAACCACGCATAGGGTCGTTTACAGCATTCTCAGAGAACAGAGAATTCCGTGCTAAAATGAACAGAATTTTTTCAGGCTGGGGAGTTCATGAGCCTTAGTTTCTTGAGGAGCGATCCCTGGGCTGTGCCAATTTTTCGATTCATATGTGACCTCTGTGTTCAAATCTCTTCCGATTCAGCTACAACTTCGAGAGGTACAAGGTGACGTATCTTCGAACTCCAGAAGCGATAAGGATCCTCTATACCCTGAGCAAGTGCACAGTTAGGGTGTCCATAGAAAAGGACCTAAGACTTAACTCTCCTAATGCTGTAGGTAGTGATGCCAAATGAGAATAACAGTGGGGGCGAACACCATCAGGCACTTTCTAAGGAGACCACATGCAACAGTGAACCATTCCCTATGGTACTTAAAACCACTAATAGACCGCGCTTAGTGACTTTCAACACGACCGCCCTATTCTGACGGGAGTAGACACCAGCATTTAGGAGAAAGTAGAAAGAGGGGAGAC